GTGGGTTTTTGGCTAAGGTTAGCCTCTGGAGATGTGATGCCTGACGTTCCACTGTCTCCTGTCTGAAATAGTTCATCTGTACAGCCTAGGATGTGATCCATTGTTCGGTCCATGATATCCTGCTAGAAAATGGAGAAACCTGATAATTAGTAATCTGACTGTGTGAAGAAAGAAGGAGTCAAAAGGGAAAACAAAAAGTCCTTGCCTCAGCGATTCTCATTTCATTCTTCTGAGTATCCGTATTAAGATTCTGAAGGGCCATGTGCAAAGCAAGAGAAGTATATGCCAATACTGGGTACACGTCCATGTATTCGCAACAAGTGGCTTGCAGAATGCTAGTCTGGGAGACGACTTTTAAGGCAAGGAGTAGCTCTTCAATGTCAGACTCCAGTATAGCTTTACGTGCAGCTTCGATAGTGAGTAAATCCTTTATCTGCCATGCTATTCCTACAGAAACCGAATAATCTTCCTCGAAACTGATTGCATTTTTTCCGCTAACATGTTTCCACCTTGCGGAAGATTTTCCAGAGGACTTTGATTTTTTCCTCTTCATGGAATGCACATTCTTTCTTTCTACTTCGTAGCCAAAATTGATTTGACAACGGTACGCAGTCTTCCGCATGATACTGGTAAAAGTTCCAATGAGGTCACAAAAGGCATTAGAAGACAGGAGTAACTTGTGTACAGATCTCAACTCGGTCTGTCGTCCTGCATCCCCAGGTAAACCACCACAATTTACAGCTAAATTCATGCAATCTTCTAGGACTTCAGAGACAATATCAGGGGAGACCATAGCAATAATATCAAAGACAGCTGACACAGCCTGTGCAGTGGGTGCAAAAGCAAGCAAGCTTTTCATTTTTTCTCCAGGTAACAACTCTTTCAGGGAGGCCATACACCCAGAATCAGCAACCAAATCTTTACAGAGATGGTACGCAGCACGAAGCAAGCCTTCAGTCTGATTCTCGTCTAGCTTATCACCTGACAAGACTGAATTCAAGAAGAACCCAACGAGGTGCAGTACAGATTGAACGGTTGCTCCTAAAGATACCAAAAATTCGGAAAACCTTGCACCAGCCATTGGGTTTCTGTTTATGAGTGTTCTACATCGCTGGCATGCCTCCTCAGCTCTCTTTCTTGATGGAAAGTATGATGGTATTAGCAGTCGAGCGATTCCCTTAGCAACATGAGTCTGATCAGAGGCAAGCACAGATAATAACACATCCAAGCTCACTACCTGCGTATAACAAGGAAACTATTTAACCAGTAACTCAACAAAAGTGAATACACAATATCGAGGATCAGAACCGGAAATGGAAGGCCTACTCCTCCTACCGTGTTGAACTGGAAAGCGCGAACATCTCGTAAAAGAAGCAGTAGATCTACCATTGCAACACGTATTGAAGTAACACTATCTAGCATCAAATGCCCCAGTCTTGGCAGAACCACTTTAAGAATTCCATGGGATTGTGGGTTCGCGAGGAGATAAGTTATACCATTAACCGTTGAAAGTCTAACCTCACTGCACGATTCATGTGACATATCATCGAAAATTTTTGTGAGGACCTTGGTAATTGTTGTTGATGGGATCACTTCCCAGAAAAGATAGAAAACTCGACAGAGACCTTCCACAGCAACAGACCTCACATCTGGGCATTCATCACTCATCAATTTTTCCAACAAGTAGAACTGTTTGTCAAGCAGGGTATCTTTTGCTTCTTTTGTTGCATCGGGATCCTCCATGGGGAAAAGATCCAGAAGCAAATGTAAAGCATTTAAACGAACATTTGAATTTGCAACCTGAAAGAAAATAAGAGCAGGGAAATTACTTCCTACCAAATGTCCAAATAATGTCGACTAAAATAGCCAAGCAAACAGTTTCAGATAGAAAACTAAAGATGTGTAGGTAATGGCTTAGCTTATCATCCCTATGTTTCATCTTTGAGAAGAAGGCAAAGCAGTAAAGAAACAAACCTGCAATGAGCGAAATATCATAGGCTCAGCAAGGCTAAAGAGAAGCTTCTCAACTCCTTGAGTGGTCCGCTGGCTGATAAAACCTCCCAAAACCCTCCTTAACGAGGCAGCAAAGGCGCACGAACTGGCGTGAATAGCACTATCGATAATCCCCTGCAAAAACCCATCTTCAATCTCACCTTTCAAATCTTGCTCCACTTCTTTCCAAGCTCTAAACAAAATCCCACCAAAGCCTTCAAGCACAGATTTCCTCCCCAAAGGAATCTGAGCCTTAACAACAGCAAGGCCAGCTTTCATCAACTGTCGACTAAGCCCGAAAGCGAAAGAAACAAATCTCTGACCATCTTCGGTCTTCACATACAACGGGGAAACCACACATCGCATCAACAACATCCTCAAATCTTCAATACTCTCATCCTCAAAATCAAACAATGTAAAAGCTTCTCTCAACATATAAACTCTATGAACATCTACTTTCTTCTTCAATGTCAATGACCTCGAAAGCAAAAACGGTAACGACTGAGAAATCAAAGATTCTCTTTCCACTAAACCTTCCTTCCACCAACACTCACAAATCCCAGCGATCTCAAGACACAAAACCGAATCCGACTCGAAAAGTCTAAGATGATTATGCAAAACTTGAGCAGCGGGAAGTAAATCGGAAGTAGAAAACGCTTTCTTCGGACTTAAAAGACATAAATGAACAACATGAGAGAGAATCTGAAGAGAAGCAAGGATCTGAAGCTTACGCTGATCCAAATCCGAATCGGGTAAAGTTCCGGTACCGCGGTGGCGTTTCGTTGGAGGCGAATTGGAGGGAGAAGGGACATAGGGATTGTTATCATCTTCTTCGACGAGTTTTTGGAAGGACTCTGTGTTTTGGAGGATGGAATTGAGAAGAGCGAGTGGGAGAGAAGATGAGAGGTCTGAGGAGGGTTTGACGGCGTAGATGATGGTTTTTAGTGAGGGTTTAGAGGATTTTAGGGTTAATTTGACGGCGGAGGAGAGGAATTCTTCGGCGGATGTCTTGAGAGATGACCGGAGCCTTTTCTCCATTTTTTTTTTTTTTTTTGAAATTTCAGATTCTCAGTGTCAATTTTGAGGATTTGATTTCAAGTTAGTTTGGAACGGTAAAGAGGGAGAATGAAATTGTTTGAATTTGGTAAACCTAAAGAGGCTCTTACTATTGCTGGGCCTTGCTGCTACTTGTGACAGACAAGACGTCGTCGTATTTTCGCAGTTAATAAACCTCGGTATATTTTGGTTAGGGCAATTTATACAAATGCCCCCAGAAAAGTTTTCTCTTCCAAAAATAGCTTCATATTTCATAATTTCCAGAAATAGCACCCAATACTTTTTAATAACCATTAATTGAAAAATAGAAAATACAAAAAACCTAATTCTCATCTCTTTCACCCGACGATTCTCGTTTGCCTCCGATTCTCCATAGCTGCCTCCGATCGTCGGAAAATTCGATCTCCTCCGGTATCTCGAACCACTGCCTCCATGATTCCTCGACTCAACCCAGTCGACCTAATCTCGTCGACTCAACACAATCACGTTTCCCCTTCCTCAACCCTCACTCAGCTATTCTCGATTAGTCTCCTTTCTCTCTCAGTACTTGCCTCAAGCATTTTCTCCAGATTCAACGCCTTCTGTTTCCAATATGCAACCGTGTCAAACTCCTCATAGATCTCAATCTTCTTGCTATCGAACAACGCATCTCGTTTCTTCTGCATAAACCTGCGGAACAAATCATTAGTCTCATCCAAAACCGGAACATTATGATGCATATTGCAAATCACTAGTCTCATTCAATCGGGTTTTTGAAAGTTGTTAGCTTTTAAAGATGAATCCCTTTCATGTTCTTAAAGTGGCTGGCTTTGTATATCATTTTATTTGCTTAACGAAGTTGTTTAGGCATGCTTTTGTTGGATTTGTGTTTGCTATATATGTAAGTTTGTGATATGAAGATATGAATAAACATTTTTTACTTGTTTCTGTGTTGTCATTTTCTGTTCTCTTTGCTTGATAGAGTTGTTTTAGTTTGCATTCTAGAATGGAGATATACGTCTTTGTTGATTTCTTTTTAGTTTTATGGTTTTGACTTTGGTGTTTTGTATTGATTTGTTTCATTGATTCTCACAATGTGATATTGGTTTCATTGCTCACTAAGGATTTATAGTAATTTGGGAAGGATTTAGTAATTTGGGAAGGTCTTCCTGATTCGGGAAGGACTTATAGTAATTCGGGAAGGTCTTCCTAAATATGATATTGGTGATATAACTATTGGAAATTCATGAAGACTTCCCTAAAAACTTATTTAGACTAATTCGGGAAGGAATTATAGTAATTCATGATGGTCTTCCTGAATAAACGCCTATCAAAGATAGAGAAAAAAATATAAACGCTTATCAAATACTTTCTCTAGATATTTAGGAAGGATTTCTCGAATTTCAGGAAGGCCTTCATCAGAAAAAGTATACACACACCCTAACATGGAATTGAACCCAAGACATTGGGTTTTGTACTAGAGCAGGTAACCGATAAGCCAAGCTATTCATTTGAAGATAGCATAGAAATAAATGTATATGAACATGAAATAATTTAGGAAGAACTCTTTGAGATTTCGGTAGGCCTTCCTAAACTTGGGACATTGATGAGTTTGTGATACATGACCCATCACTAATGGAGTAATATGTGATACATTTTGACAAAACATAAATAAAAAGTTCAAAAACACATTTTTAATAATTTAGGAAGGATTTCATAATGTTTAGGAAGCCGTCATTAAAGTTTATGAAGGTCTACCTAAATTTCTGAAAACAACCTCTATGTGGCCAACTTCGGATTTGTAAGTTGTATGTACATTACCCCTCACTGATGGAGTAATCTTTGATACATTACAACACATAAATAAAGAGACTCAACAACACATTTTAAAAAATTTAGGAAAGATTTCATAATGTTTAGGAAGACGTTCTTGAAGTTTAGGAAGGTCTAACTAAATTTCTGAAATCAGCATCTATGTAGCCAACTTTGGATTTGTAAGTTGCATGACGATGGAAAATTGTAGCAAACTTTTGACAAAGCATTAGCTGCAGATTCTACCTGTAGAAAACCTGCAAACTACAAGCCGAAGAAACCGACGATTGAAATCTATGACGAAGACGAACTTCTCTTACTCTTAACAAATATCTTCTCACCAATCTCTTTGATCTCAAAACTATTTCCACATAGCTTCAGCTTCCACAAAACGATAATGGTTTGGATTTGATATTTATCAGAGCAGGAACAACTCTCATCATGTATACTCAACATTTTCACAACTTTAAGAGCAGTTCCACGCATTTCACACAATCCAAGAGCTAATCTTTCTACATTTTCTTTAGACATGAAAGATGATAATGCAGGTTGATTGTCTTGTGTCATTGGTGTCTCATTTACCATCCTATAGGTAGATTCTTTAACAGCTCTCCAAGCAAGAGCAGCTCCTAAAATTGAAAAACCTTCACACTTCACAAAATTCAACTTGTTAAAATTGTTTCAACAAAAGAATCTATCTAACCCAATTAAGCAACATATCAATGCTTCATAGATTCTATCTAACCTAATAAGTAACGAGTGATTGTTTTACCCATAAGCTCTTGCCGTAGGTGTTGATGGAACCATCCATTCTCTAGGTCTCCGTCTCTTCACCGGACCTCAAACTCCAATATTCTCGTCTGCTACATCACGTGAAAGCTTAATCTCTTCTTCTTTAATTGAAATCTTAGAGAAGCTAATCAAATCGAGGACCAAACTATATCCACACCAACAAAATCGAGAGCTACACTCACGAATCTAGAGCTACACTCACAAACCACATAGTCCATCACGATTCCTAGAGGTACATTCAGATTCCACATTCAACACGATTTGTGAAGAAGAAGAAGAAGAAATTAGAGAAATGGTAATCGATTTAGGACATGATTGAAGCTATGAGATCGGAAGCTTCATTGGGGTTGAATATCGGAGATGATCATAATCTTCACCGGAATTGAAAATCCGAGATCGGAAGCTTCACCAGAAATCACAATTGTAAACTCTCCGTCGGTGTGTTTAATTTCAGTGCTATTTTATGTTTCTTATCTTAATTAATTTAATTAATTCTTAAAAATCAAAAATAAGGTTAAAAAGTGCTATTTTTGTCAAATAAACTTGGAGATACTATTTTTGTCACAAAAACTTCATTTAGGGCTATATGAGACCATTTCTCTTTTGGTTATACAAATGATTGGTGAAATTACTCTATGAGGTATGGAAGGAAAGGAACATTATTTCACAATCAGTCCTCCACTCTATTTCAAGTCATTCTCCGTTATGTAGACCGGCAATTCTGTAACAAAGCTTCTTCATTTCGGCCAGCTAATCTCGGGCTCTCTAATCTTCTTAAACTATGGTTCCAATGTCCATTCCTTGCTTTAGAGCATGCATTCGATTAATCTTGTTTTGTTGATGATTGCTTTATGTTGTATCACAAATGCTTTTACTCTTTCAATTTCTCTCAACAAATGTACGCCCATCATCAAAAAGAAAAAGAAAAAATCACATACTGACTACCTAGTCACATACTGACCATCTAGTCACACTATACACTAGAAATCCCACTTTTCTAGATCCACCTTACAAAAACAGTCGGCATAAAAAGATTCCTTTTAATATAAAGAGGAATATAAAAGCATTGTTGTTTCTATCATTTATTCCATGGTACAAAATGTACTTTACTAAAAAAGAAATTTTCACGTTTGACATAAAAAAAAGATTTGATCTCACCTTTTGGCAAAGTGAGATTCATTTCTCATGTTTTGGCAATTATTCCGTTTTATGACGAAAATGCCCTTGACGAAAAACCAAACGGCACAGTTACGTTACGGTTTAGTTTCTAGCGGTTTAGTTACTTTTTGTTTTGAAAAAAAAAAAAAAAATTTCAAGAAAACGAAGAAGAACATTCATCATCTTCGTTCGACATCTCCGAGAGAATCGAGAGAGAAGTAGAAATCAGTTCGGAATTCAATCATCCATCTTCGTTTTCGACATCTCCGTTCGAATTGTCTGCTACTTGATTTGAGGCATTGCATTGAACTCGAAAAACCGGCGAAGAGAAAGTTCCAGTTTTTCCGGCGAAGGCGACCTGAGAAACATCCGGCGAGATACCAACCTTCGAGATGGCTGGGAATAAACCAAACGACGTAGTCTCTAGGAAGAAGCATACGCAGGAAGGCCCCGAGAAGGACAAGGTGGAACTCAGAGTATCCCCGAGGAGGAAACTCCCTCCGAGAAATCCGCCGGAGGAATTGGCTAAGTTCCGATATTATTCCGTTTGTAGTTTCTTTGGGTGTATCGGAATCTTAAAGCTTGTTTGATTAAAGGGATAGAAGTTGCCGGATTTTGCTATATCTGTAGTTTGAAAATTTGAGAAGTTGAATTGGAAATCTCTGTTTCCGCCAAAATTCAGATGTTGAGTATATAATGATGATAATTACTGTGTACGTACACGAATTCATACATCCGTACTTAATTGTATATCACTTGTAATTGCAGGCAGTACAAGCGTGGCTCCGACTGAAGATCTTATAGTTGAAGAGTTACCACCTAGACTCTTTGCCCTAGACCGGTACCCTGTCAAGACGAAGATGAACGCGTACTCCAAACCGGAATACCTTTCTGACATAGCACAAGTTCTTAAGGGAAAAGAGGAGATGAAGTTTCTTCTCGAGTCTCCATTTGGGGACCTTTTTAGGATACCTGCTAACAAGTCTTCCTTCTCAGGTAAACTTGTTCTTGGACTAATATGTCGTCAGTTAGTGACGAGTAAAGTGAATGAGATGTGGATGGTCTTCGGCGGTCATCCAATAAAATTCGGATTAAGAGAATTTAGTCTGGTAACTGGTCTAGAATGTGGGACATATCCCAACAAGAAAGACGTGACGGATGTGCTAAAGGTCAAAGCTGGGAGTCAAAGTGTCTGGAAAACTCTGTTTGAGGAGAAGTTTGGGGAGAAGCCGAATCCAACAGTGCATGATTTGGTGGTCTGGCTGAAGGAGGAGGAAACCATGGATGGGTGGAAGCAGCTGGCCTTATCTCTTATAATCTTGGTAGATGGTGTGATAGGGTGCCATAATAACCCCATAAGGCCTTCTGAGTTCACTGTTGAGATGACGAAGGACGTGCAATTCTTCTGCAAATACCCTTGGGGAAGGGTATCTTTTACCCGTACTTTGGAGAGGATAGCAAAATTCCAAACCCCTTCAGATGCTCAAAAACTGATAAGGTGTGTAAAGGATGGGTCTTATGCACTACATGGATTCCCATTAGCACTCCAGCTGTTTGCGTTCGAAACAATCCCGTCCCTTGCTAAGCTAGTACCTGATGATGAAGCTAACAGGACATTTACTCAGAGGTCTATCCATCATCTTGCCTCACTGCGGGCAATCAGGACATCCAACATCTTGGAGTGTGAGGCTGCTGAAGAGGTATGTACAATTGTTTATGTACGTACATTATTTAAAAAGTAAGTGTACATTCTCTAAGTGGTTAACAAACTTATTGGTGTAGGTTGAGGTAACCTATCTTGTGAAACCAGAGGACAATATTTGTCCTCCATCCCTGTCATGGGATGATGAAGTTGAGGATCCAAGAGTTGCTTACATTGAGCGACTGTTGTTAGCTGGTCATGAGTGGAAGGAGGAAGAATGGGTTGGAGGTAATGCTGCATTTCCAAAGCAGGAGCGCCCACCACAACTTGGAGAGATACGTGAGTGTAAATGTTGTTTTTATACTTTCTGATTATTGTCCCTTGAAGACCAATCAATGATTAAACTGGTCTATCGTAGGTGTGAAGAAGAGGAAAAGAAATGTACCAGCCCCGAATGCACCTGCTTTGAAAAAACAGAAATCTGTTGTGGAAGAAGAAAATGAGGACACTGCTGACGATTGTTCTGAAGATCCCCAGTTTGAGAAGTTTGTAGTTGAACTTAGGAGGTGTTTCAAGAGGCAGGAAGCACAAAATAAATAAATGCAAGAAGACTTGAAGAAATTTGTCCGTAAGGAGATACGTGCTGCCTTAGATCCAAAGGTCAAAAAGACAGAACCAACCAAAACTTCCCATGCTTCACAGGGCCCAAATAAATCGGTGGTTAAGGCACCGATGAGTGTGAAGAAGGCATCTAAAAGGATGTCTACAAAGAAAGTATTCAAGTCTGGAACAAGAAAGTCTTCAAGGCTGAAGAATATAATGACGTCAGTTGCGGAGATTCCTCAGCTTTCTGATGGTAACTCTTCCTCTCAGGAAGATGACCAGGTATGGCATGTACGTACATTTATATATAGTATTTTAAATGTACGTACATTAAGATTAATAACTGTAACTTGTCTGCTATGGTACAGGATGAAGCCAACAATGAAGTTGGTTTTACTACAAATGATGGAGGAGATTTTTCGAACAGAGATGAAGATATGGTTGACACTGGAGTAGCTAACATTTTAGTTGGTGGACCTACACCTTCCCATCAGGTATGTCGTGTACAAATATTTTTTTCAATTATTTCCAGTTGTGTACGTACACATAGGCTTCAGAAGTGTATGGTATACTATGTTTCAGGATGAAGGAGCACGTGATGGTGGTGAGTCTCTCCTTGTTGGTACACAGTCAGGGACCGAGGAAAAAGCTAGTGCTGACACAGAGATGGAATTTCTTCCATCTCCTATACCTTCAACCTCTGTACAGGTATGTCTTGTGCTAATAGTCACATACTGTTTTCCATAAGTGTACGCGTATCAATTATTTTCAGTTCTCCACGTACATATAGCTTAAGAAGTGTATGGTATACTATGTTTTAGGATAAAGGACCAATTGATGGTGGTGAGCCTGTCGTAGTTGGTACACAGCGAGGGACAACTGCTGACACAGAGATGGAAGAAAATCCATCAGGTTTACCTGCAACATCTGGACAGGTATATGGTCTGCTAATAGTCAAATGTAGTTTTCCATATGTGTACTCACATAAAGCTTAAGACGTGTATGGTATATTTGTTTCAGGGAGAAGAACATGGTGCCGGTCTTGAGAGTGAAGCAAATGTTGGGGAGCAACCAGAAATTTTCTGAGGATAATGATAGAGATACATCTTCTCAGGCTGAACACACCGAGGAACCCGGTGTAAGTGTACGTACATTTGTCTTTCTTATTTCCCGTGTACGTATAAGTAATGATTGTTTCAGACATCACAAAATAGAGTATATAGCCGATGAAGTTGATAACTACTGCCACAGGTTGATGCGGGAGATGTACCCAATGTAGTTGTAGAGAGTAAAGTGGATGACTCAGTACTTGAGGGCACCCTAGGGGATCCCCCTTCACCATTTGCAGTAGTTAAGAAAGTAAGCTAACTATATTTTTAAATAAAATAGTGTAGGCTTGTTTAAATTTATAATCTTCTATTATGCAGGTGTTACAGGAGTTGGCAACGAAAGCCTCCATGGATGTGGATGCAGCTAATGTAAAGGAGGTAAAAATCTCGTGTTTGGTTTAAAATTATACACAGTTATTAACATACGTACATAGGATTGTATGCGTACATTTAAATAATTCTGCACGTTAATTTGAAAAGGGAGTGTTGGAGCAGCAGGGGATTGTCGACGGGGTGGAAGAACAAGAGGATTCAAACCCAGGGTTAGATGAAGCAGACACGACAGTTGGTACACTAGAAAATATTGTGAGTATCTTCTCAGTAAATATTATCATTACATTTTGAAATTGTTTAATCATGCTGTTTACAATAATACTTCTTTACAGGATCAACCAAACAACGATGCTGCAGTCGAAGCAATAGCATTTAAAATTCCTACGCCGGTTGTACCCAAAAAAGTGAAGAAGCAAATAATTGTTGAGATGGATGAAGCCCTTCCGGAAGGTTTTAAGGAAACAACAGTCCTCGTGGAGGATGTTCCTGGACGAGCTGAAGATTCAGAGGTGGTTATAGCGGCTGGAAATGTCCCTAACAACCCCTTGGAGAAGGTTGATGCTTCCAAATTAGAGCTCTTAACCAATGTCCTCCGCGGTCCGAATGTGTAAGTATCGTGCATTATCAAAATTATCCCTTAATTGATACATTGGTTTTCTATAACAACCAGTCATACTATAATATTGGATATACAGGAAGCACACTCTTTTCGGGTATCGCAAAGTGGACAACGAGTTTTTCTCCATGCTTATAGCACAAGGACAGTGGGTGGATAATATGGTAAGTTGAAATAGTACATTTGTGTACATTTTTTAAATATTCCTGAATTGTACGTACACTGACTGCCTATGCTATTATCATTTCAGGTCTTGGAAATGCTCGCAATCTTGATGTGGCACAAGAACGGTCAACAAATGATAGCAAACCGATGCGTTGTTTTGGACTCCTTCCTGCTTTATGAGCTTACTAAGCGTGCTGTCAGCTTCAGGAATTGTATAAATAAGCTTGGGTTCAAATGGGGCGACCGGCTATACGACATGGCCAATGGAATACACATACACCGTGAACCTAGTCTTAGGTGGTTCAAGGATGTCGACGTGGTATATGCTCCGATGAACTGGAAAGGTGATCATTGGGTTGGGTTGGCAATCCACCTCAGAGCCCGGAATATAGTTGTCTATGACGCTCTCATAGAACACACGCGGGAGTCTGTTGCATGGTCAAAGATGCAGCCTATCTGCGAGATGATGCCGTACCTAGTGAGAGCGATGTGCGCGGATGTATTGCCTGAGAAGTACTCAGTTGAACCTTTTGCCTATGAGAGAAATGTTATGGTTGCTCAAAACCCAAGTACAGGAGATTGCGGACCTTACGCAATGAAGTTCTTGGAGTTGCTGGCGTTTGGTAACCCAATGTCAGACTTGGTGAATATTCAAGAAGCAGATATGGCCGACTACCGTCAGGTGTACGCAACAGAAATCTACGAGCACGGCAAGCGCGAGTGTGGTAATCGGCGTTTATTGTAATCATCCCTGGATGTTGAATTATTTTTATTTCCTAATACATATTTCCTTATTTCAACAACCTAATTAGAACAACGTAATTAATTATGGAGATCCTCAAAATATTTATGTAATCGTTATAACTATCTTCTTTAAACAATCTGCACATCGTACACTTATTCAGAAACCAACATGTGTACGTACATCTTATATAACGTACGTCTTTTACACAAAGTCGATTTTTCTCATAATAAGATATATATTTCTTTACTTACATTGATTTGACAACCCTCCCTCACTGCATCATCACTTACGTAAGATTGCATTAACTACAACCATAACTTAACCAACTAACTTCATTGTTCTTTATTTAAGAGTAGGAATTGCATTGTTTTGAAACACCAAATTCCAAGAAATGTCTACACCAAATCTACCTGAAGATTTGCTAGCCAAGATAGCCAAAAAAATGGCTGACAAATGTTGGTGGTACCTCGGACCTCTGTTAAGATCAGGGCGTGGTGGAAGAAACATTGTCTACAGGCCGGATGTCTTGAAAGATGCTAATATTTATAGCATGTGCAGTGATCCCGATGACTTCCATGCGGCAGGCCATGATCCGAATGACATCAACGCTGAAGGTCGATATAGACCCTTTTTCAAAAGGTGTCTAGAGGCTGGTAACCCGATTGCTATTTACCATGAAGGACTGCGTCGAGTTACCCATGAGTCTGACATTAAGGGCGCCATTGTACTTTTACAGCGGAATGTACCAAGGCACGCCGATGCAACCCTGGCCTGCGCTATTCTGTGCATATGCGACGGGAATGCTCACATGGGTGGTGTGTACCTACGCCTGTTCGCAAACAACCATTACCCTTTGGAATCAGAAGAAACACGTGACATGTGTGAGGAACTCCTAGAAGAAATAAAAAATTATGGAATTAGGTTAAACAACACATACGGCGCAACATTTTCGTACCCTGAGGAACGTGGTATTCAAACGCCTCCTTGCGCGATGCTGTGTTACATCAGATCTGGACCCTTCAAGAATGTGTGCAACGTATGTTACCTCTGGTGGTGTGCGAGAAGAATTAGTCAAATTCTCTAGGGATTTCTTACGTAATATTATCTGAATTTCTAAGTTTTTATGTTATAATATGTGGCCTTTGCAATTGTACTTTGCTTATCAGTAATGAATATCTTTTTATCTACATTCTTGCTTGTTTCTCATATACTACTCAATCTTATGAATGGTTACAAATAATTGTAATATTTTATATTAAATTGAGAAACAAGTTTCTTAATGTTAGATAATGGTGCCTTGTCTACAGAGGCTTACAAATTATCAGTAAATACATACTGACCTGATTTAGCCATTGATAATGACCTCTATCTTTTCAAAAAAAAAAAAAAAAACGCAAATTTATGTACATATATACGTACACATCCATGTAATTAATGTACACTGTCTTTTGTCAGATAAAACGAAATTGCAAAAGAAAGAGATTTGGTTTTTAATGCGTTTCCCCCAGATTTAGCCATATACATGAACTCAATCTTTTCCCCTAATTCGGCGACAGACATCAACTCAAACTTTTAGTCAGAGAACGTAATAAGGGTAGACATACGTACACGGGTATACGTTACTGTGTACACGTATTTTAGTTGGTTTAAAACTAGAAATATGAGAAGCGACTTTCGAGATGGTAGTAAATGATGATGCAATGCTGATTGATTTGACCTGTAATAACCCATATCTACAAGTTTTGGAGTAGTTATTTAATGCATACTGTCAAGCTCTATTCATAGAATGACCTCTATCTTTTCGCATAAATCTCCTTACTTTACGTACACGGTTTGCAATTAATGTACACTTGCATTTGTCAGATAAGAGGAACTTTAAAAATAATGACACTTTATTAATGCGTTCCCCCCCAAATGTAGCCATATACATGAACTCAATATTTAGTCCCTATATAAACGATATCACACACACTAATTTATTTGCTCACATTATTCTAAAACCTCCTTCATTCATCAACTGCAAGATTATTTCTAAACCTCCTTTGTTAACAACATGGCTTTCCCCGCAACCCCTCCAACCGAGATGTACCTTGCAATACAATTGCCAAACCCGATTTCCGTCCTCATCAACTACCTGCCCGTATCCCAGACTCCCATCGAGACCCTCCGCCAATTGGTCGAAGCAAGTGACGTAAACGCAATAGTGATGGACGACTTCATCACATGGCCTCACTTCGTGCAGCCGGAGTCTCCCTTCAGGGCCTACTTCAGCCTCTTGCTGGAAAGGGGTGCGATCCCGGCTATATACCTCGAAGGTGTCCGCCAGGCAAGCAGCTTCCTAACGGTGGCCCACGGCATTACACTACTCAACTCCGTCGCTCCATCCAACCCTCTCGCCTGCTTCGCGACCGGCTTATTCCTAACTTGTACTGGCAACCATGTCGACTTTCTTCCAGTCAGCGATATGTTCTGGGCGATGACACCCACATTAGCGGCAGCTCACGCAGTGGGGGAGATGGTGATGTATCACATAAGCCAGCTTCACACCGAAGGTCCTCGGCTCTGGCAACGTTCATGGAGGTATGTGCACACACCGGCATGTGTTGGCCTTTGCACGTACAGTTCCGGCTGCGGAGGGTGTTTCTTTTACTGGTACGCGAGGGAGATGTGTGTCTTCTATTAGATATGACTTTGATTATGACGGATGAGGCATACAATTTTCCGGCTCATGTGTATGCTTTGGGCTCTACTTTTTAGTTTATTGCTTCCGCATCTAATATATAGTTTGTCTTTCTTGAATGTATGTCCTTCTTCGGGCACTTAATTATGAATGAATGAAGTTTTTGTTGTTTGAGGACAACAATTATGATATATGTATGTTTTCGTGTACGAACACGGGTTTCGTACAATTTGCTGATTGAAGAACCAATAAGCTAGTAAAACGTACACTGGCACATTAATTGTAATTGTAGACATTGTACGTATAAAATGTACGTACAATTACCCAATAGTTTATTATACAAATTCAAGTAATTAGAAAACGACAACAAGTTTATGTAGTTTTACAATACTTAATATAAATCTGGTCTTTAATAATAAGAAGACTGGGGAAAACAAATCCCCCTATCTAAAAAACGACCTGCTTGATCTCTTCCACTTCCGGTGTGTCCGGATCGGCAAAGACCTTTGACACAGGACCATGACTCACAACCTTAGGATTAGCTCTGTCGGTTAAACGCCAGAAGACGAGTGCGACAACAACATTGCGCTGACCTAGACTCCGAAAGAAGGTTTGGAATTCCAACGCCTGTTCATTGTGTGCTTCGCATTCCAAAACTTCGTTGCTACATTAGATTAAAATAAGAATCAAGTCAGCGTTTAGATTAAAAAAGTGTAAGTGAATCAAATGTGAAAAGAACATTTACTATCTATCTTTGATCTTGAAAGGAAGCTTGAGACCGTAGAAGTCTCCGGTCAAGTGGCCAACCTCCAACAACGCTCCAATGACATCTACATCAAGGGCCAAAAAATAGAAACAAACTTCTAATTTCAAAAATGTGTAAATAAAACATAACTTAAAAAACATCTCACCGACTAAAACTTTCTTATCAACTGTTTTCTCCAAAATGTAGTCGAATTGAGTGAAATCGTAAAACGATATTGGGTCCCTTCGTAAGGCGTTAGTAACGACGGTCCGATCCATAAACCATATGCCGTAGTCATGAGATGTTGCTCTCACTGGGTCAGCGACGTTACGGACCAAGAAAGTGGTCACAATTTTCCACTCATTTTCTTTGATTCGGTCTATGTAAAAAGGAGCAAGGCGACGATCAATGGTGGCCTCGATACGGGAACGGGATCCCTACAGAATATGATATATAACAGATTTATATAGAATTGAACCTAACGTATGATAAAAAAACACAAACACGGCACAGGGAAACTACCGAATTATCTGCCAAGATAAGGCCGAGTTCGAAGATGTTGGGCGCAACAAACTTCTTAAACACTCTCACGACAAATACACAAATTGTCCACCCAGTGATCTGAGGACACAATTCGGAGATGGTGTGATACCCGTCCATCACACGGTTAGCAAGAACAATCGAAAGACTTTGTGTTTGATTGATGTAACTGCCGAATGTGAAAGGGTTTTCGTTTGAAGGAACGTGGATAAAATTGAGGAGGAGATGTGGCTTAAATAAGGAAATTCCGTAACGGACGCGGTGGGTAGTGCGAAAGTGTTCCAACGGTTGAGATACAAATGTGTGTAACCGTTTGTAACCGTTTATTGCATGAAGATTATACGTACACATACACAACAAACACGTACACTAACAAAAACGTACACTCAGAAAACGTACATAGTTATACGATGGCAAACATTAAACGTACGTACACCGTCACAACACTTTGGTACACACTGTCCACACATAAACGTACACTGTCTTCGCGGAGACATAAAGCTTATGAGGAGAACTAAATAGGATTTTTGCAAGTCTTCTTGTTATGACCTGCTTGTCTACATCGTGTGCACTGATTCGGAATAAGTCTTTTCTGTCTCTTTTTCTGAAATGACAACAACAATAAGTTAATAATCTACGTATCTTATACTCAAAACATAATGTTTGAAAAATCTGTACACGTTTGAATGATAGCACTTACCCGGTTTTCACCTCTAGATGGAATCCTTTTGGTTGTTGGTCTTCCTGGTGGTCGTCTACAGTATGGAGGAATTAGTATCAAATCCGATATATGTTGTGGGATGACAACATCCTTCGGATCCGCGATAGGTAGAATCGGTTCTTGAAAAGAATCGGAAAACGTTTGAAGTCCATACCACCATCCTACAACAACCTTCGGATCTATTCCAAACTCGATTGCAGCTGCTAGACCGTGTTCACATGGGATTCTCAACTTTGTGTACCTAAGACACGTACATGTACACTCGTCCAGAACGACATGAAAATGCTCACCTGACTTGCTTGTAACTTGATAACTCCACGGTCCAGACATCTTAACCGCGAATTTCCCTAACGCAGGCAAATCTTGGAGAAAACGCTCATCAACCTCAGGCGTCACTAAAGACTTACACCTAGCCACTTTTTGCCTCCTCGCTGCGAACCATCGCATTAGGACCTCTCGAATGAACTCTATCATGTACACAATCGGATATGATTTGGCTCTTGTTAAGACATTATTCATAGACTCCGAATTGTTGCTAGACATGATATTGTAGCGTTCCCCTTTACAGTGAGCTCTTGTCCAATGCTCAAATCCAATTTCCTCTAAGTAATTTGCGCATGCAGCACTCTTAGCCCTTAACTGTTCGAAGTATTTTTCAAAATCTCTCACTCTGTAAGCTTTAGCAGCGCTGAAGAATAATCCAGATACACCATACTTACCATAATGGGTGGAGATATTTCGCTCAAGGTGTACTGCACATGCACCATGATGAGCTTTCGGATAAACCACACTGAGGCCTTTATATATTGAAGAATGTCTGTCCGATACAATCATTAAATCTTCACTGTATGGAACAATGTCAGCTAATTTATCAAAGAACCACACCCATGAAGCGTCAGTCTCACCATCCACAACACCAAACGCTATTGGAAATATTTGGAAGTTCCCGTCTTGGGCACATGCAATGAGGAGACATCCCTTGTAACGTCCTACTAGCTGCGTTCCATCTACGACAATTACCTTCCTCATATACTTCAGACCTTTTATAGAAGCCCCGAGAGATACAAAAACATACTTAAAGCGCTGCGTACCATCAACTTCAGGTGTAGAGTGTAGGTGAGTTATCGTACCCGGATTAGCTAATTTAAGAAGATACAAATAGGTAGGCAAAAACCTGTAACTTTTTATATCATCCCCCCTTACATTTTCCACTGCAACCTCTTTAGCTCTCCAAGCGGTAGAATATGAAATCCGAACATTGAGATCATTTAGGAGCAACTGTGGTAAATCGACAGCTCTCGGACCCCCTTGCGTAGAACTGTATCTGCTCTTCACTACCTCTCCGAGAAGCTTATAACTAGCATGTTTATTATAATTCTTACGAGTGTCGATGTCACACGTATGGGTGGTATCATACGATGTGATTTTGAAACATTCTGAATTCTTGACAACTTGAGCTGTCAAATGCCATGGACAAGTATCATCAACGCAGACCATCTCCAATCTTGTAGGACATGACCTACGTTGCTTGTAGCAAAAGCATTGTTTGATTGCGAGATAAGACATTGTTTGTTGTATGACTTTTCTGTTCTTAAAAACACTCCCGACATACAAAGTCTCACCTGTCGTACTCAGTTCGACTTGTGTCTCATCATCTCGTAAATTGGCTAAATCATCGAATACCGGAGCAGCATCATTATCGAGAATCTCCAACTCGCCACCATGTAATGTAGAAAAGTCATTATACACTTTGTAAGCCTCAGCTGCGGTAACTAACCGATTATCATTCAGTGTCCCATTTGCGGAAGCTCCAATACCACGGTCGATAGTGACTTCGTATATACCATTAATATTGGTATCCGTGTTACCTTCGCAGCCTGTATCTTGTACACACTCTGTAGTGTACGTAAATTGGTACAAACCATGTTGACACGTACGTCTTGGAGTCACCGTTGGTGTACGGTCACCCGAATGAGAAATGTTATCTCCGCCAGGTGCAGTAACTAGCCGATTATCATTCAGTGTCCCACTTGGGGAATCTCCAATACCACGGTCGATAACATCATCCCCAGAGACATCGTCTATACCATTAATATTGGTATCGGTGTTACCTTCGCAGCCTGTATCTTGTACACATTCTGTTGTGTACGTACATTGGTACAAACCATGTTGACACGTACGTCTTGGAGTCACCGTTGGTGTACGGTCACCCGAATGAGAAATGTTATCTCCGCCAGGTACAGTAACTAGCCGATTATCATTCAGTGTCCCACTTGGGGAATCTCCAATACCACGGTCGATAACATCATCCCCAGAGACATCGTCTATACCATTAATATTGGGATCGGTGTTACCTTCGCAGCTTGTATCTTGTACACATTCTGTTGTGTACGTACATTGGTACAAACCATGTTGACACGTACGTCTTGGAGTCACCGTTGGTGTACGGTCAACCGAGTTATCTCCCCCACGTACACGATGACTTGTGTACGTACACTCTGCCAATAGACGACTGAATTCCCCTGGATGTTGAACCGTTTGTTGAGTGAGAATGACGTCCTCCTCAACATTCCCTATTCCATATTCTTCAATAATTAAATCGTTCCACTTGTTGTAATCGTAATCTTCGCAACTGCCTTCACTACCGTCTATAGTAGGATCGAGGGTACTTCCCCCCATAGATCCATCATCACCCTGATAATCATCATACCCAGCACCATCTTCGTTGTCCTCCTCCTCTTCTTCATCCTCATCTGTTTTATCGTCTTCAACGTCGTCTTGCTCATCTACGGCCTCATTATGAAGCCGCTACGATGGGATTTGGTGTCGTTGCACTCCCACAAACACGGTAACTCTCACCATCGGTCCTAGGGACAGTATTCCCGAGTGCCTTGACGGTTGTAATGAAAGAGACAAACAAGGTGACACTAGGATCCCCACCACGAATCAAAAAGAATGTATCCAGGTTCATTTGATTGTCAATGTATACAGGAGGGCGTTTACTTTCTATCATCACTGACATCTTTCCCGGCATCCAGTAACTAATTATTAGATTGCATTCGGTGCACTTCAAACTGAAAACCTCGCATAATGTACGTACAAATGCCGTGTACGTCATGTTTTGCCTAACACGTACACAACGACCAAACCAGCCTTCCCATGGTTCAAATTTCCATTCTTCTTCTTTGCATTTCCACTCACCCACCATAGTAAATACGGGAATATCCATTACCAACCTGCATCATAAATTCAGCAGAACCCCATTAAATGCAAATGAAAGCATGATTATATCTACAAAAAACAAAAAGAATTCCCAACTACACACTTATAAACATAAATCTATCCTCATTTAGCAATTTCAACTAAAAAAAGTGGAAATAAAAATATTCTGGGGTTTTATATAAAAACAATGTTGATCTTAGCACACAATCAAGACCCTAGTGTGTTAAAACAAAAAACTTCTTAACCAATTTCATTACTTACACGTTCAATGCTTGTCTTGGCTCCAAACTTTGTAAATCAAGAAGATCAAACCGATGCAGAATCACATTCGTTCAGAAAAATTTGTTTGTTTGATGGATCATGTTTGTCTCTTACAACTATTCACACATATAAACTAATATTAGAAAAAGTAATGATGACTTTTGCATTAATTGTGACATGAGTCATGTCTAAACTTTTTGGGCATTAAATACTGATGTCTCATTGTGTTTTAATGTTATTAATCCCAACTTGTCACTGTACTCCCGCACAAATCAATTAAGAACGAAATATATTGCGTAACCGGAACAGTGTACGTAACTGAACCGCTTAACTGAACCGTACAGTGAACCGCTTAACTGAACCGTACGCTTAACTGAACCGTACGCTTAACTGAACCGTACAGTGAACAGTACATCGGTAGGGGTAAAATGGTCAGATTTTGGCCAAAATGTCAAAACTTGAAAGCCCATTCTCACTTTGCCAAAACTTGAAATTAAAACTTGGTCAACTGCCATAACATGCAATTTACCCTTACTAAAATTCTGGTTCCATAGTTGACTTCACCAAACAAAATGCACATAACTTCAAACACAACCTAGTATTTGGTGAATACTAAACCGAAGAAAAGAAGTAGAAGACTAGTGACTTCTCCTAGGAACAGCAAGAGCCTTAAGCGGATGTTTCATGACGGTGGTGAACTCGAGCTTCTCTGTCAAGTCAACTTCATGACCTTCGACCTCCTTCCACTCAAACTCCCTCACCATATTCGCCACATAGTACTCGAGATGCAGCATCGCTAGCCCAATCCCCGGACATATCCTTCTTCCCGCTCCAAACGGCATCATCGTTATCCCCCTACTTCCGGTAATGTCCACCGGTTCTTCTTCTCCCATAAACCTCTCTGGCTTAAACGCCATTGGTTCCTCCCACACCTTTGGATCCCTCCCTATCTCTGCCACCATGAAGTTAATCGTCCCCTTCTTCGGTACTTTGTACCCTCCCAAGACAGTGTCCTCCGTGACACTATGCGGGAGCACAAAGTGTCCCGGAGGATGCCTCCGAAGACCCTCCATCACCACTGCCTTTAGATACGGCATCTTCTGCGCGTCTTCTTCCTCCACTTCCTTTGCTTCTTCCCCAACTACGCTTTTGATCTCCTCGTATAACCTCCTCTGGATCTCCGGGTTTTTCACAAGGTTCGCCATGATCCATTGCAACGCGGTGGCCGTTGTATCAGTCCCGCCGTTGAGAAACTCAGAGCATAAACTCACAATCTCATCTTCATTCAACTTCCTCTTCTCATCTGGAAGCTCCAGATCGAGCAAAGTATCAACATATGATTGTACATACTCTTTGTTGTCTTCTGCCTCCTTCGATGATCTATTCTTCCTCTCTTCGACAATCTTTCTCCGAGCACGAATCAGCGGAAGCAAAACATCATGCTGCTCTCTCCGCATCTGGAAAAACTCTTCCCATCTCTTTCGAAAAATAAATTTGGTTAACTTAGGCCAAAGATTGAGGATGTTAAATCTCGAGAAGCCAAGAAGCTGTCGTCTCTGAACATATTCCACCTGTTTGATTTGCTTCTCATCAAGCTTATCTCCAAAACACATGAGAACAAGAAGCGCAAACATTGCATAGTGAAGATGATCAACCACAACGATCGGTTCTTCACCTCCGTTCTTACGAAAACGATCAAAGAGTATCCCAAGAACCCAACCCCGCGCGTGAGAATAAGATCTCACGCGCGAAGGGTGAAGAATCTCAGAAGTGAGATTCCGGCGAAGAAGCCGCCACGTGGCTCCATATGATGAAGAGCTGATGTTATGTTGGTTACTTGAAACAATCTTGCTGATCGGAGCCGCGGGTGGACGATCGGCGAAAACAGCGCCGTTCAAGACTAGAGCCTGATAAGCAAGGGAACGATCGGCCACGAAGATTGCGGGGCGGGAAGTGATACGGAGGGTGATGATGGGACCGAGACGGTGGTGGACGGTGCGGAGATAGTTGTTGAGACCACCTAAACCTTGCCGGAGCCATTGGAGAGTTCCAAGGAAAGGGAAGAAGTTAGGGTCAGGTGGTAAGGGAAGAGAGGAGGAGTCACGGCGGCGAAAGAGGAGGAGATTGAGAAGGAGAGAGAGGAAGAGAGAGCCCAAGATAAGTAACCATATCTCCATTTTTTTTTTTGTTCTGTTTTCATTGCTTCTTCTTCCGTTTATTCGTGTTTATTATATACACGTGTGTGGCTAAATTCGTGTAACAGGATTTTGTTAGTCAACCTATGTGTAACAATTTATTATCAGAGAGTGTTAGTCAAGCATAAATTAATTTTATAATTAGGCAGTATTATTATTTTCTAGAGGTAGAATTATTATTTGGGGGATCCAATCCGAAATCTATTCTGATTTTTTATAAAATATGTAATTTGTCCATAAATTTTTTAAATAACATGTGATACATAGGAAAGATATATGAAATTTAATTTTAAATATTATTAAGATAGTATATCAGATTTTCATTTAAGAATATTATAATAAAATTTGATTTTACCATAATATTTGATTTTGTTTCTAATATATTATTATTTTTTGCCTTTTACAGCTCCAATTCCAGATTTGAATCTGGATATCCCTATGATTAGAGGATTTAATCAGTCCATATCTATTTTAAATTTTTGGAATAAAACTCTATTTTGGCTGTCAAAAAAAAAAAAAAAAAAAAAAAAAAAACTCTATTTTGAAATTCGTGAAAATCAGGTAAAACAATTTTGTGCGATGTTTGTTGCATCTCACACGTCACGACATTACTTAGCTCGGACGGGTTTTGGGCTCTACGTGTGAAAGTCATAAGATCTTTTAGCTTCTTTTAAGCTTTAGATTACTAGAGTACAAACAAGTGAACAACAGCTACCATAGATTTTTGTGACATCATCAATTACGTATGTTACTGATATTTAGGATTCTTTTCATCATTATTAATTTTGTTTTGTATTTTCTTTTGATGAGTTCAAGATCTTTCCTTGAAAGAAACATGAAGACGTTGACCCAAAACTGAACCATTGTTTTTGTGGAAATTTTGAAATTGAGAAATTGTCTAAAATTTGGATAGATGTCGACTACTTAGTGGATAAGTACTTTTCTCTAAAAATTTACATGATTTTTATCCGAATATTACTAAACAACCATTTTCATATGTTTACAAATGAAATTTCATAGAAAAGATCTTATGACTTTCACACGAAAAACGAAAAATACTACAAAGCGATAAATTAGGAAAGAAAATTTGGAGCAGAGCTCAATAAAGATTAGAGAAAACAAGCCATTTTCTAGAAAAATTCAGCATAAAAACTGATTTTGCACAATATGTTTCAAAAACATGATAATACATGATAATATATCCTTCTCGAAAGAATATTTTTCATAACTCATACTAAATTTTTCATCTTCAAATTAAGAGGGGTTGAACTCTTTCTATCACAATTGGACTCGAGTTGAGTCAAAAGCGTATCTCCCTACAAACAAATTCATCATAGACTAGTCGTAGGGTTCAAGGACTTCCACGATATCAAACGGACATCTTAATGTTCGAGGACATTTTTCTTGGTGTTCTAAAACCTATATCTCCTCAACATGGTAATAGTGACTCCTCTCAAGAAATTTTAAAAGATTTGGTGGACTATTGTTTTTTTTTTTTTGGAGTTTAAATATCCACTAATAATTACTTTTGTTTTTTTTTTTCAAGGGAATCTACAATCGATGACCATAGACGACTCCGTATTTAACTGACACAATTTTACACTGTTTGGGAAGGTTCTGTAGCAAAATAATGACCTGTTAACCCCTACCCGCCTATCAGATTGTAAGAGAGAGACATGAGGAACGAGTAGGCGTGTGTCAGAATAGAGAGATATCATATCTCTTGAAAAAATGTGATTTCCGAGATTTCTTTTGGGAACAGTTGCATTAATAATCATGAGAACGGTTCAAATTGTTCGAAGAGTTGCGTTTGTGTGTGTCTATTTCTACTGCATTTTTTTGCCTCTTAGTATTCTTAGTGTTCGTTCCCTCTGTTCTCTATGCGGTTTACTTTTTTTTCTCTCCGATAGTCAAATCGATTTTCCGATTGAAGCGCTTCATTTTCGATTAATTCGTCCAAGTAAGTATCTCATTAAAATGAGATTTTGTTCATTTCTTATGGACCCTTCCATATTTTTTTCTTATCAAATTCTAAAATTTTCTGGGTTTTGTAGATGGAGGACCTTGACCTCCCGCACCGTCTAATCGCCGCTGGTGAAGAACCGCTTGGGGAGAGGGTTAATGTGTATAATAAGATGAAAATTCTTAATGGTATTATCGACTCGCTTGATGCTACTGAAATCAATCTCATCCGAGATTCTCCACTCGGCGGGTTGTTGGATTTCCCAAACAAACCAGCTTGGTCGGCCAGTTTCGGTCTTTATCTGCTTGGTCGCCAGTTGGACATAGCCATTACCAACGAGATCTGGGTTGTTTATGCTGGTACCCCAGTTCGATTTTCTCTTCGTGAGTTTCATCTAGTAACCGGACTTGCTTGTGGGCGATATCCTGATGTTCCGAAGAAAAAAAGGAAGGGGACTGCTGGCAAAGAGATTCCGTTTTATAGCACATTATTTGGGCTGGAGTCCGATGTTACTGTGGAACGTGTTACTGATGATCCGTCATTGTGTATTCGTTATGCTGTTCTTGCGCTTGTTGATGGATATCTCCTGCCAACATCCCATCATCCCAAAATTATTAAAGAGCACGCTGAGATGTCGGAAAACCTGACTTCTTTTCTCACTTATCTGTGGGGTCGATTGACTTTTGAGATGATGATGAATTCGATTAAAGAAAGAGAACTTGAAAAGCTTGCAACTACTTCTGTCGCTGTGCAAGGCCTATTATACGCCCTACATCTTGTTGTTCTTCAAGCCGCTCCTGCTATTCAAGAAGGTCCTATGTCAGAGGAGACAGTCGGGTCTGAGTCTGATAAAGATACTATTGAACTGACTCCTCGCCAGGTAGTCCCGTGGGACGCCAAGTTTTAGACACGAAGTGCCAGGTGATAATCGTTTTAATACCTGATAAATTCTTTCTTACCTGATACTCAAATAATTTTATCGTTTTATCTGTTAACTGCGGTTTTCCCTTCATAATTGTTTAAGGATTTTGTTTACTTTTCAGACTCACGTTGATCCTATCATCCATCCCGGAGTTCTTCTTGATCCTGCAGAAGATGTTTCGTGGTCAGATGACGAAGTAGATCCGCAGGTAGACACTTTGGTAAAGTTGGTGGAGGAAGGATTCAAGTTCAATAATGATATGTTTCCTGGTGGGTGCATCCCATCTGAAGTTGTTGTAGCCCCCAAAAAACAAAAAAGAACTGCAAGTTTGAAAGGTGGTCGTGTCAGGAAATCTTCAAAGCAGGGCAGAATCCAAAAAAATCCAACCGGGATTCGAAGGACTCAACAATCTGTGCATAATGAGGAAGAATTTGTTGGTTTGGTTGATATGAACGCGTTATCTCGGATGTTAGATGCTAAATTGAATGCGCAGTACAAAAAGATCATTAAAGGTGTTTCTGATTGGTTTATTGCAAATACTTTGATTTCTGCGGAGAATGGGGAAGATGTTCCTGCTGAGAATGGTAAAGAAGTTTCTGTGGAGAAGAGGAAAGGAAAAAAGGTTCCTGTTCCCCAGTCTAATCCTCTCCACATTTCCGATGGAGACGATGATTTTGACACTCTCTTTCCCTTCCATCCGCCGAGTCGTCGTTCTTCTCGCATTGGCAAAGCTGCCCATCGCGTCCCCCAAGTGCCCGACGAGGGATTGGGACTCAACAATTCTGTTGAAGGGATAGCTTCTTATTATAACCGCTTTTTATCTGGCGATTGCAGTGGGTCAAGGTCAGCGGATGGTCTAGCGAGTCATGTTGATGTTGAAGAAAACGGTTTGGTTAATTGTCAGGTTAGTAGCTAAATTAATTGTTATCTGTTTTGCCTCGTATCTCTAATAACGTATTTGTCCTACCATGTTGCCTATATATGATCTGACTTTACATTTTATTTTCTAATCCGGTTAGTAGTTTTCCTATATCATTCGAAAATGTTAATTTCTATGTTATCCCCTAACTATTATCGAAATTATTCTCCCTGCAGTCATTAAAGGAAGGTAGCAAAGTGTCCACCAAAGATGGTAACAATGGTAATACCGCGGTAAACAACAATGATGATAACTTGGAGGTTAGTGTCTTTTAATATAGCCATCTTCACGTCTCTAATATTATTGTTACCGTATGTAATTTATATTTTTTCTGGATATAATGCCAATATATATTAGATATAATGTTTTATAACATATACCTATCTGTTGCAGGGTGATCATGAGATCGGAGATCCGGTGGATAATGTGCGGGTTAGACGTTAACGTTTAAATTTTTTTTTTTATATATTATTTTTTGTTTTTGTTTTAAATTTTTTGGCAATTTATTAGTTGTTAGTACTCAAATTGTGACCATAATTTCGTTATATTTTTTTCCTTTGGTTTAGGCACTGGAAGAGATTACCGCATCAGTCGGAAACCAACAGGTTAGCCGTTAACATTGAGATGTTATTGTTAACGTTGTGAGGTCATTCGAGTTAATTTATATATTTCTTTCAGGCAATCCAGGAGGTCGACAGTCAGTCTGCCACTGTTGTTTCTTCTGAGGTTTGAAGAATTTTCAATTTTTTTTAATCATTATTGCTTAGTTCTCTTACTTTTATTGTTGCTGGGTTTCATTGTTAGTCCGGTGTTAGCGTCAATTCCGACTCTTCTAGAGTCGATGAAGATGTTTTCGAATTTTCCACTCTAGTAAGTTTACTAGGTAACTTTAATAATATTTTCATAACCTAATAATTACCTGTTACAGGACACGGAAATGGGAGATGTTGCCGATAAGGAAGCAGCACACACTGAAGGAGATGATGAAGAGGTCTTTAAAAATATTCCCCAATCTTCTTTCGGAGGTAATATGATTACAAAAACCATAACTTTATTGTTATCTGGACAGGAGTTAGCAATTGAAGATATTGCCCCCAAGGATAGTGAACTTATTCAGGTACAATATCCCTGCTTTTTTAAAACGACATATCATATCTTATCCCTCAATCCTTTAGTTAATTTACTAATCAACTAGTTATCTGTCAATAGGATTCCCAAATTGAAGCTATAGGTGACGAGGTCTGTAATAAATATCCATAACTATTTTACCATGTTATAAAATTATTTTGCACATAACTTTGATGTTATCTGTTACAGGAATTATCAAGTCGAGATGCTTCCCCAAAACACGGGAAACCTATTCAGGTACAATATCCTTTTATTAAGAAATGAAATATCATACCTTATCTAGTAAACCTTTTATTAGTTTTCTAACCAACTAGTTATCTATCAATAGGATTCCCTAATTGAAGATAAAGGGGAGGAGGTCTGTAATAAAAATCTCTTACTATTTGACCATGCTATATTATTATTTAGCACATAACCTTATTGTTATCGGTTATAGGAATTACAATGTTTAGATGCTTCCCAAAAGACAGGGAACTTATTCAGGTATAATGACTATTTTTCGACTCTCACATCTTACCCATTAATCATTAGATTAGTTAACGAATCAATTAGTTATCTGTCAATGGGACTCGCAAACCGAAGCTAAAGGGGATGAAGAGGTTTGTTGAAAATCTCTGTAAGTATTTTCTATTGTTACATAATTACTTATTTCATAACTTTATTCTTATCGGGTATAGAAACAATCAAGTGGAGATGCTCTTCTAAAAGACAGGGAATCTATTGAGGTATAATGTCTCTCTCATTTTCGACTCTCATATCTTACCCAGTTAACCTTTTATTAGGAAACTAATCAATTAATTATCTGTTAATAGGATTCTCAAACTGAAGGCGATAATGAAGGAGATGAAGAGGTCTGTTAAAAATCCTCTAACTATTCTTACCTTGTTATATAATTATCTATTACATAAACATATTTTTAGTTTACTAATCAATTATTTATCGGTTAATAGGATGTCATTATGAGGTCTGTCTAAATATTCAACTATATCCTGTCCTGGAGTTTGTGAATATTATTTAACTAATATTTTTGTTATCTGCTGCAGGTGGGAGGGAGTAAATATATTGCACCCAAGGATTGTGAACCTACTCAGGTTAAATGTCCCCTTTTTTCCTAATGACATATATACCCCATTTTTAAAAGTCATTTTTTTCTAATCTATCAGTTATCGGTTAATAGGGTATCCGAAATGAAACTGCTCCAGAGATGGCAATTGACCCTCTTCAGGTTTGAAAAATCTCTTCCTCATTTTCTATTTCTTAGTCATTATCTTTAGTAGGGTTACATCATTAGCATTTTGATTCCTTTTTGCTTTTCAGGATCCCCCTGTTCTTGTGGTTGCCCCAATTTCTGTTTGTGAGTCAAACAAAGTTTTGGTCCCAGAGAAGGTTTGTTCCTTTTATTGCATTTCCAATCATGCATTATTTTCAAAATGGCAGTTTCATTTTGTTATCTTATGCAGGGAGATGTTCCATCTCAGACTAGTGTTGTTGGTAACAATGGAGGAAGGAGTAAAAGGCTTAGAACGAGATCTACCAAGTTAGATGGTCGGTTTCAGTTTGATAAGAAAACGAAGCTTTTGGTAGGACACCCTTCTCCCATCGCCAATACTAGTGGATGTTTAGATCCTGAAGAGCGTTTTAACGGTTCCTTGAAAAAACTAAAAGCGATAAGGTTTTTCTTATCTTTTTTTTTCTTACTGGCATTTGTTATGTTAGATAGATAATTTCTTTATTTGTTAATAATTTGGTACCGATTTTGTAGCTCTATTTCTTTAGGCCCCGATGTTTCTATTAGCAGCAAGGATGTCCTTGAGTTACGGGTTAACTTGAGTAGTTATCCGATAATCATTTTAATGGATTCCTTTATTGTAGGTCATGGACGCCCTGTTAAAATTCAGCAAGCACATTCTCCGTACACACGAGGTGGATTGCGGAAAACTTTGTGTTGATGTGCTTGATACCAAGTTTATCTCTCAATTGTGCCGCCTATATCCGAAGTTCACCAAAGCCCCTGTTCCTCAAGATTTCTAGTTTCCTACAGCCTTGGTTGATGCTGTTTCTGGTGTTGGGGAGCTGGACCGTGCTGAGCTGTTTACTGAAGTTGACTACCTTTATCTGCCATTCAACTTTGACAAAAAACATTGGGTTGCCTTATTTGTTGATCTTAATTGCGCCAAGATTACTGTTCTCGATTCTAATGTTCATTTGCGTACGGATGCTAGCATCAAGGCGGATATCGAGCCTCTCTCCAAAATGCTTCCTATTCTCTTCAGACAGGCGGCATCTAATCCAATAATGAGCCAGCTCTTACCTACTCCATTTTCAGTTGAAAGGTCTCTTTGCATCCCGCAGGTTACCTCTCATGTTGATGCCGGCTTGATGACTATCTTTCTCATTCATGCGCATGCTGCCGGTGGTATGGATGATTGTGCTGAATTTCTTCCCGAATTCATCGAAGCTGAAACCAAAAAACTTGTCTCTGCTATCATTCTCGCTGGTGTCCCGTAGTTCTCCCCTTGTTTTGTTTTAGTATGTACTATGTTCTTTTCATATAATATTTCCCATGTTCTATTCCATATTTGTTAGTACTCTCTATTGTCCTTTATATTGAACTTACTTCGTTTCGGATCATTATTATTATCCCTTTAATTCTATTAAATTTGCCCTTTTTGTTATCAACAACGATAAACTAATATAGTTAATGTATTAGTTACAGACATAACCTATTAATTACATATATGTGTTTGTTTATTCCGAAAAATAACATTTAACAGAAAGGAATGTTTTATCGGAGTAAACCATTTGTTACTTATATTTATATGAATAAGAGATGAAGTCAGAACAAGTGATTCGTTCTGTTATTTAAGAAGTTTTGAAATACCTAATTAATTACGTATATATGTTAGTTTAATTACAGAACAAATTATAGGTTCTATAAAATTACTAATGATAGTTAACTAACATGTTAGTCAGATTGCTTTAAAACATTCTTATCTGTGTTTCATTCGATTCTTGTACTTCTAAAGAAACATCTAAATATGTAATATGTTCCCCACGTAACTTCTTGCTTAGACACTAACTTTATATTTGTTCATTCTTTAAAAGTTCTAAATCTTAACAAGGCACATCCAAGTAACTTCCTGATTAACCGATAACTTTAGATTGTTCATTCTTTTAGCGTCTAAATCTTAACTTAACAAGACACATCCACATACAAAACAGATCACAGAACCTTTCGACAAAGCCACGCCATTGAAACTACCACAACCACGAGTACACAAACTGATTTCATGCTCGCCTTCTCCGTACTCTCCTTTGGTACCTTCAGCTTTTGCTCAATTATCTCATTCTTCATCTTGTTCATCTCTATTTCCATCTCCTTCACCATCTTACTTTGAAGCTCTACATTCTCCATGATCATCTTCTTTAAATCATTGACGTCTTCTAAGAGTTGGTTGTGCTTGCTTTCAACCATTCTAATCTCCTCTAGAAGAGCATCATCAACCCAAATGAATAGGTGTTTTTCCTTTTTATCTTAAAAAAAGCCCCAAATCGAAAGCTTAAATTACTGAGCAAAATTTTTTTTCATAAATTTAAAAAACCAATTCATTACCAGAACGCCCCTAACGCATCTGTAGAATCTTTGATACGGGTTTTCATCTGTCTTCGAAGTGAAGGTAGTTATCTCGTCACCACACCAGCATCTACTCGGAACACCTCTGCGAGTAGTTCTCGAAGTGAGTTGAGATGAACCAGAAGTAGAAAATTGACTCATAACTTGATTGTTTCAGAGAGAAACAAAACGAAGCAGAAGCGAGTGAAGAAGAACCGGAGAGGAAGCTGAACAATAGTGAGAAAAGAAGAGACTGTGAAGTGTCCTTGGAGAGAGGTAGGTAACCCTAATTTTGTTAGTTTCCCCAAATCGATTTTAATAACGAGAGGTGAAATGGAACCCTCGGTTTCAACAAGAGAGGTTAAATTCGATTTCTGTACCTCTAAAGAAACATCCAAATTAGTTATATGTTTACTACATAACTTCTTTCTTAACAACTAACTTACTTTGTTCATTATTTTAAAAGATTATTTGTATTATTTATTATTAGTAGTCTATCTGTTTATACATTTTGTTAACTCAGTAATATTAACAATATCATTTGTTTTAGACTTCATATAAGGGTATCTCACAAAGTTATATAACCAATGTGTTATCTTGATTGATGGTGAGAATCTGTACCCACCTATTCCCTCAAAAATCCATAGATCTTGCATTAATTTGTTTCCTATCCTCTAAATCAGTTGGCTATGGTCTAAACAAACTCTTATCGCATTAATCTGTTTCGTATGTAAGTTGTTTTTTTAGATTCCCATATATTTTTCTTTATACCAAATTCGTAATGAATATGTTATCATTTTATCAATGATAGCTCGATAACATTCTTCTTACGCGTAGTCCCAACTTCCCATACAATGCCAACAGATTTATTAGATAATTAAACATTAACTGGCCTTCATTAAATAATTAAACAGTAACCGACGGATTGGTATTTTCTTCAATAATTATACATATTAGGCCACTAGAATCCGCATTATATACATCAAAATCATTCTACTGGCATCATCAGCTTTATTTATTTAACATTCCGTCGAGCTATTTTAGTTTGCCCAACGTCTTCCATCCGTTCTTCTTTCCCAAAAAACTAGCTTCCCCTGCTTTCTACGGCTCATGTGTGTTATCACAATTTTCGGTAACAAGGTTTTCTTATGTTTTTTTAGTTTAAAAATATAATTTAAATTTGTTACCGTCATTGGTCCCCTGCACGTTGCTCGATTGTGGCCCAGTGAACGGCAGCGTGTGCAGCGCTTACCCGACGTCCTCTGAAACATAACTCATCAGGAAAATATTAGATATCCCGATAACAAAATATTTACCATTATTTAAATAGCAAATAAATATTAAGTTACCTTGAATTCTCCCCGAGAAAAGAGTCTCCTTTTTCTTGGCCGCCCTGGTGGCCGTCTAACATATGGTGGTGCTAGCTTCCCTCCTCCGATATCATTTGGTGATGGTGCTAGTGTTGCCATATCTGGGACATGCATAATCATTTCTTTGTATGCTGACCGTAGTTGTGGAATTGTGTGGTGGACTCCAACCATGGTGTCAACTCTTATCCCTTCTCTGATTGCGGCAGCTATTGCATGGGAACATGGTATAGTAAGAAGCTGAAACTGTCTGCAGGTGCATGTTCGATCCCAAAGATTTACGGTGTACCCGCAGTCCACAATATCTCTCACCTCATATAGCCCATCCCCTATTTTCAACACTCCAAATCCTGCCCCCTTTTCAAAGTTCTCTATGACCATATCATTTACCTTTGGAGGCAATATGTTTTCTTCCATACGAGCTGCTTCCCTCCGTAGAGCAAACCACGTAACCAAAGTTGTTCTCCAAGATTCGAGGATTGAGATCACCGGATAGTCTCTTGCCATTGTCAACACATTGTTTAACGATACTGCGATGTTGCTTGTCATCACGTTATATTTTTCCCCAACAAAATGAGATCGGGTCCAATGCTTAAACCCTATTCCGGTGAGGTAGTCAGCACATGGCCCGTTCATTGCTCGAATCTCCGCAAAGATTTTGTTGAAATCACATAGGCGGTAGGCCCTGGCTGCGCTCGACACTATACTTCCTAGGGCTTCGTTTTTGAAGATTGCGATTATATTTCTTTTCAAATGAACCACAGAAGCCGCGTGGGATGCCATTGGATACACCTGCAACATATTTAACGGGCCATGATAACATTAGCATATCTCATTTCTAGTTTGCATTAAAAACTTATGTATTTAGTTATCTCTTATTTTTTTATTTTCTCTTATTTGGTAACCCCCCATATATTAAATAAAAATGTTATTATCAGATAACCCATATCCATTTATATTTCCTTTACTGTATTTGTTTCAACATTTCATTTTCACAATTATTCATTAAATATAAACAAAGTTCTTATACGTTAAAGAGACTGATATTGTGGTAAATAATATGTTATCTACCAATGTTTACCTTCCTAATACTTGCATAGATGGAAGCGTGCCTGTCTGAGACGAACACTAGGTCTGGTTCGTCTGGGACAACTTCAGTTAGCTTCGTCATGAACCAGGTCCACGCCTCGTCGTTTTCACTATTAACAATTCCAAATGCGAGTGGAAAAACTTGGAAATTCGCATCTTGGGCGCTTGAAGCTACTAGATAACCTCCATACCTGCCTCTCAAGTGAGTTCCATCGATGACAATAACTTTTCTCATGTAAGCATACCCCTTGATTGATGCGTGTAGAGCAAAGAATAGATACTTAAACCTGGTAACTCCCAAGTTATTTGTCTCGGTTTCTAGCGCAGTAATAGAGTTTGGATTTGTTGCCATCAGAAGTTTGAAGTATGGTTGGATTAATGCAAAACTCCCCATAGCCGAGCCCAGAGCATTGTCCATTGCAATCCCTCTTGCTCTCCACGCTTTCCAGTAAGAAACATTGAGACTGAATTCTTGCCTCAACATTCTCCGCAACTCATTAGGCCTAGGTCCTCTTCCAACCCCAACGTACCGTGTCCTCATCAGCTTCCCTATAACTGCTGTTGATGCTTGCTTGTGGAAGTCGCCTCTGGCGTCCACGCTGCAGGTGTGCTGCAGTATTGCCGTCCTCACTTCAAACCGCTCACTGTCTTCTAATTTTGTCGCATAAACCCGCCACGGGTATGTGGTCCCGACGCAAACAGCTATCACCATTGTTGGACAAGATTTAGCATGTATAAAGTGGAACTTTTGTCGGATTGCATGAATAGCTAGTTTTGTGCAGCAGTCATCCTTGTTTTTGAACAACCTTCCCATGAAAATGTCATCCCCTTCATAATCAGCATCTTTAAGCGCTCGTTGAAGGTAATCTGTCAATGTTATCCACACACCATCATTAGCGTGTTATAAAAAAACTTATCACGATATATAAATATTAGCCCAATAACAATATTATTATCGCTTGTTTACCTTCTTCTCCCGGGTCATCAAAATACGGAGGTGCATCCCGATCATACAACACTTTCGGGACTGGCGTCTCTCTTACCACCATTTGTCTGTCTCCCTACGGAACCTCTTTCCCTTGAGTTGAACCAGATCCCTTTTCCATTACCGGCGTACCTACTGTTATCCCCCCAGCTATGGGAACTCTTGGAGTCAAACACAATGGTCCATCCGGTTCTGTGTAATAGTCCTCCATTGCTGGTGGACCTGGCAAATGATAGCATATAATCACCATCTCTTCATTTGAATCTTATCCATATTCAATACTAGTTTTCAGATAACTAACCTATTACGCCGGTAGGAGATACGTTTCCTATCTCTGCATCCATTGGCTCCTCGGTTGAGAACGAAATACTGGTTGAAGGGGAAGTCGGTGTGCCGAATGACGAGTCTGATGACGACAACATTAAGATTGTTCGTTGGTTTGTTGCCATGGATGCGCCAGAAAGGGTGAGTCGTAGGCTTTCTTCTTCAGCAGGGGTTTGTTGTGACAATGTTACCCCGAAATTCAATTCTCTCGCTGTCTTGGTTACCTCGTTGGCCATAACTGTCCCACCTTGCTGTCCTCCTAGAGTCATCTCTGTAGCACACACATCCCGCCACATTTCTGGGACATAGTTTCTTCTAAAAGCCTCAAAATCCGTTTCTGTAGAGGTTTGAGCTGCCTCAAACATTTCTTTACATGCTAATCCATTAGCGTGAGTTTTTTGTAACTCTGCTGCATCGGTAACATGTCCTTTGCCTTTCTCGCTTGCTGTTGCTTTTCGTTTCTCTCTGCTATCGGCCTGCCTGGGTACTGCTGTTCTTATAGGTGTTGCGTTTAACGGCTCCTGTATCCTTACCCCCTAGTCGGGTTTATTCTTCTTGGTCCTTCAATCGTTTCGTTTCCTTGTTGCTGGAGTTCGCTGGTACTACGCTTGTCCACGCCTGCATGTCGCGTTAACAACCGGGTCAACGCACTATCCCAAACTGACCTAGTTTCCGCGGAATTCCAGTACTTATCAGATATCTCCTCTGATGTCAATCCTCCCAGATCTAAATGGCTTTTGAAAGAATTAACATTCGTCTCCAGCCCTCCCCTTATCACCTTAACTCGCAGATGCACCTCTTCAAGATCAGCCCTTATCGCCATGAACTGCATCATATCTTCATCATTAAGGATGTGTATCAGGTCTGCTCGTTTCCAGTCGGGACCCATCATCCACTGCGGCCAATGATAACTTAGCTCGATTTCGTCTGTATCGCGAAGCGCCAATATTTCCTTTACCGCATTAACAACTTTATTATACCCATATGTCTCCCTCAGCCAAACCGCCATCGTAAAACCTTCCAAAGCGGATACATGTTCGTAACAGCCTTCATCGTCTTTTCTCCATTCTCCTCTAACCAACCGCACCACCATAGCCATAACTTACCTACGGAAAAGGAGTAATAACCTTGTTAGCACCGAGTATCATGATTTTTACCACATTAACAATTACGATGAGGAATGAGATTTGTTAGTAGACGACAGTTTTATACCTTATCGTATTTAATGATGCTATTTAATGCTTCCCGGAATCTTCCAATCTCTCCTCTGTTCTTCGTTACATTAACTTGTTATCTGAACTTTTATGGTGCTTTTGTGTTCTGGTCTTGGCAACGGCGCTAGTTCGGTAATAAATACATGAACCCATATGCTTGCTACTTCCACAAACCGAGAAGTATCTCCGTAATCATTTTCTTTTCTCAAAATCTTTCTCTTCCCCATAACGCCGGCGCAATCTTTCCTGATCTTGCCACAGAGATTTTCGAGCATTTAATGCTCTGAACTCTTGTCGTTTAAACATGTTATCTTGCGACAGAGATTGTGTCAGTTGTAGGGGCGTTTTCGTCAAAATTCTGTGTGTCAGAAGAGAGAGATAATTAATTATGTTGTTTCCGTTCCCAAATCTTGTAATATCTAATCTTCTATGGTTTAATATTTTGTTCACCCTTTTTTCAATTCAAACATACTTCATCCCAAAAAGATCTTTGATAGTTTTCTTTATTAAACTATTATTGAAAATTTCTTATAAGTTTTATTATTATCACTAGGAGTGTCAAAATGGGTCAAGATTCATGGGTCAATCCAAATCAATCCATGGACTCTAATGAGTTGAAAATTTTAACTCAAATGAGTTGATGGATCTAATGAGTTATTGAGTCAAATGGGTTGCTGGATCAAATGAGTTGGGTTGTAATGGGTCAATGGTTTCAATGGTTTACTCATTTAACCCATCAATTTTTGTTAAATTGAATCAAACCAATTCAAATCTCTAAACCGATTTCAATTTGAGTCTAACCAAAACGTCTAAACCGATTGAATATAGTCCTTAATTTTCCCGCCAAATATGTGAATACACAATTTTTCCATCAATATATAAATTCGTGATTTTCCCGCCAAAAACGTAAATCCGTGATTTTCCCGCCAAAAACGTAAATCCGTGATTTTCCGCCAAATTCTTTTATAATTTTTAACCAAAAATGAGAATGTAAAAATCTTCCGCCAAAAACGTAAATCTGTAATTTTCCCGCCAAAAACGTAAATCCGTGATTTTTCTGCCAAATAATAGTATTGTTGATGATTATTATTATTATTATATTTTAATTATTAATTTATTTATTACATTATTAGGTTAATGGGTCAACCCATTTAACCTTCTAACCCATCAAATAAAATGAGTTCATGGGTTGACTCAACTCAACCCATGAACCCATTTAACTCTAAACTCATTGGATAATGAGTTAAGTTGAGTTGGGTTAACAATTTTGACACCTCTAATTATTATGTATAATTAAAGAGTCAATTACCGGATTGGGCTTTATTCCAGCAGAAATTATAGATTTGGGACAGATCGTCGGGACTCACGTTTTAGGCATTACTTTTATCATGGAAGGACGATTTTACCCTTCAAAACTGCAGCAACCTAACTCAAAAAAACAAAAATCTAAACTATAAATTAAATCAATTTCAACTCAATTAGGCAAAAGAGAATGATCTCCAAAGAATATAGAAGATGGAGATGAAGATGAATTGCTAGAATTGAAGATGAATGGAGAAATAGCATTTCCGGCCATGAAAACCTCTACCCGACGGTTACGAGGGGTGCTTCATAAGCATGATTCTAAAGACCGGAGAGATCTTCGAGCTCTGGTTCAGAAAGACGATTGCCCAAGCTTTGCAGGTGCCAATCTCTATCTCTCCACTTTTCCTCTAAACAAATGCTTTTTTCTAATTTTTTTGTTTTTTTTCCTCTGGTTTTGATTTTTCCTGGCATTATTAATTTTTTTTTTACGTTCTTGAAAAAAATAGCGTAGTTGGAGAAGAAGGAGACAAATCGATCATCTACCTACTTGGCCGTTCTTTGCCGTCGTCGTCGTTTTCAATTTTCCTTTGACTAGGAAAATAATTGGAGATGAACTGAAGATTTATTCGATTTGAAAGCATCAAAAATTTGAGCTAATTCGTTTGAAGGAAAATTGAAGTTTTTACTTGATATAATCAATATCTAAGATTAGAACCCTTGGGTTTAGTCTATACTATCTAGGGTTTAATTTTCTTTATTCAACACTTGATTAATTGAAAAGAGGGTTATGGTTGGGGAAAGAGATGATGGTTGTCGTCAGAAAAAAAGGTTGTGGTTTGGGGAAAGAAACGTGGGTTGTGCTTGGGGAGAGGAGGAAGAAGAGATGTAGAAGACAAGGGTAAATGCATAATTTCGTGCATCTCAAAAATACCTAAAACTGAAGTCCAGGCAAATAATCCTATATCTGAAATTTTTGACCCAATAAATGCCCAATTCAATAATAATCCCATAAGTAAATAAATATGTGATATCAATTAAATATTCTACATTTTACTTCGACAAGACGGTTTCGAGATTCTGCAAAGTAGTTTTTTCACATGAATATTTGTTAACACTTTCGACTCAAATTTACATATCATTATGTCTATTTAAAAATTGTAAATTAGTTGATCTAAATATCTTTCAAGTTCTCAAAAATTATTTTCAGTTTGATATTTTCTCGTCCACATGTTTTTTTTTAAATGCCAAAGAAAAGGTTTGTGTTGGTTTGTATGTTCTTATTTATCAATTTATGCTTTGATTGGGACCTTTATGGCTTTATCAATGAACAAATTAATTGACACTAATATGAATTATTTTTTATATTTCAACAAATTTTTTAGTCTAAATTTTTATCATAAATTAATAAAATTTAAAAATAAGTTAATGAGATGGCTATTACTATTGAGATGGAATATTAACATATTTCATGAAACTAGATCAATTATTTTTGTATATTCCAATAGCATAAGTTTTTATTTCTCTGGTTTCCAAAACTTGGAAGAGGTTATGACCACAACACAAGCCTTAGCAAAAATTAGGTATGGGCATAATATCCAAACCGGAGGAACCGACCCGAACCCGACTCAAAAACTCCGACCCGAACCCGAACCCAGAATTTTAAAATACCCGAACGGGTTGAAGCGTGTTTTATTTTGTCTCAAAGTTTTCCCTTAGAGACTACACGAAATACTGCAAGTGCACAGTTAATCAGATGTAGTATTTAAGGATCGATCCCACAGAGACTTATAAGTACGGTACAAATTCATGGAAAAGAATATGTCTAAGACAAACAAAAGAGAGGGGTTTGGTTTACGGGTGGTTGTCACGGAACTAAACAGAAAATAAAAGCTAATTAAACGATGAAAGATGTCAATAAACGAGAAGTTGGGTTTCAAGGTATCACGGATCGGGTTATTCTAGGGTTTTAAACAAAAGTAAACCTATGCTTATTAAACGGTTCATGAACTACGAAACACTTATGTAAAACCGTTTGGCTTATGATCAAACGACTATCTAAGTCTAACAACTCCGTTACTAAACTAACGCATGCAACGACGAGATTTAGCCAGCATGATTAACGAGTTCGATTTTAGTTCGTAAGGCCCTATAACTAAGTGGTGTGTGCTAACACTATACTCACATTTAGGCTAGTGAACGCGGATCTATACACTTGTGATGCATAAACCTACCACTACAAGAAATATGAGCTTCCGTAGCAGTCCTTTGTAGCGCTAATTTACGAACTGCTACTAAAAGTTCCAAAATCGGATGACAAGTATTTCGCAGCACTATATTAATGCTAGGATATAGTTTTCATTAAACGGGAACTTAACTCAGTATTATAGCGGGGAAATGTATAATTTTGGAGGCAAAACAATTGGGTTCCCCACTCCAAACCAAAAAAGTCTCGATTTCTCAAGTGTAAAAGTCTTATCTTTTACACTTAGCTCCAAAAAAAAAAAAAGCTTTCTCCAAAATTTCAATTCAATCTCAAAGTGTTTGATTCCATTGTGAAATCTGAATACCCATTGCATGAACTCTCGATTCCTATTGAAGAAGTCTCGATTATCAACACCACAATCTCCATCGATTCTCCACTATCCGTCTCTGTCTTTCTCCTTCTTTCTCTGCTGTTGTTTCTCAGATCCGCCACCGTCTCTCTCCTCCGTCGCCATATCTCTCCGCCGCTGCCGTCTCTCTCCGTCTCTATCTCTCTTCGACTCCGTTGAAGTAATTGGGTTTTGGATTTTTGTTTGTTGATTTGAATCGTGTTTCTTTCTTATGTGAGCTTGGGTGTTTGACTTTCAATCAGTGTTTTCGATTGATTTTTTTGTCTGAGTTTAGACTCTATTTTTTCTGTATCTTGAGATAATGCTTAGTGTGAAAAAGTTTATTGCTCTCGTATATGCTAATTTGGTTTCCTAGCTCTTGTCTCTAGTCCTTACCGGTCGCTGCCACTGCTCTCATGATTATTGATGTCTCATGTTTCTTTTTCTGATGTGTAGTTGGATTTGTGGATCTGTAGTTGCCGCTCTGTAGCTGTTCAGTACAAGAACTACAAGGTATTTACGGCTTTGTAGCTGTTCAATTAAAGATGAGTTATGTTGTAATGATTCTGATAATCCATGTCGTTCTTTTGTTTGCAGAATCTTGATTCCTTAACTTCTTGTCCGTTCCTACCTTGTTCTTTTACTTGTGTAAGATATTATTTCTTTACTTTTTGTTATACATTTTGTGTCTGATGTGAGTATTCGATACAAATGAGAACAGGTCCTTGCAAGTGATTCTTGCCTAAGAATGCTCTACTTATTAACATTTTCCAGGATAGGATTTGTGTTGGTGATAATAGCTGGAAGCTAAACTAGTCTAACCTTTTTTTTGCTGTTTTAAGACCACAAGAAGGAGAAACTCTCTGGCAACTTGCACAGAACTTTGTGAAGCTTTTCTTGTGCTCAGATGTAAGTAAATAAGTAATATGACATCTCTCTTATAAACAACTTTGACCAATGGCCAATTAATTGATACCTCTCTTGTTGTTACTACTCTTTGTTTCTTTACTTTCTTTCTAGTGTGTTGATGCATGTGAGTTATTTGAGTGTGATCCTTTGAACTTATTATCACAAATTGTATAATTGGTGGTGTGGAGCTATGGTCGTATTGGTGTAATATTGACAAAGCATGTGTTAGGCTTCCAAGATAAGAATCTCATTGAGTATTGATATGTCTATATTTCACTAGTTTTTACCATGTATTTACATCTCATTTAGTCTAGTTTCATCCTTGTCTCATTTAGTCTAGTTTCATCCTTGTTTCATCTCATTTTGGTTATTATGCAGAACGGTCTGACAAATCACATATGCAAATGATAAGAGTACATATGTATATGCCTTTTTTACTGCAATCAGGTGGAGAGATGAGACCATAAAGCTATATAATCTTTGACAAAATTGAGATTAGTTTTAGCTTCTTTGCGTGAACTCATTCCATTTGTATATGATTCAAGAGAGATAAAGAAGATAAAGCAACAAGTGAAGTGGTCTTGGAGCTGAGATCATTGGCACATTCGTCCTTGTATACACAGTCTTCTCAGCAACTGACGCCAAGAGAAACGCCTGTGACTCTCATGTCCCCGTAAGTTACCAGTCCATAGCTCTAGTCGATGTAACATTGGTGCTAATAGCTTCTAAAAACAATTGAAAGGAGTGGACTTTTTAGCAGCCTTAAGTATGCTATAAAGACTGATACTCATGGTTCCACATTGAACTTGTTGCTTATCGACTTGAGTTTTACTTTTCTTGCCTTGTATACAGTGGCCAGTAAGAGTTGCTAAATCTAATTTGATTAGGGTCATCTCACATTATACATGACAGTACTGTCCATATTTAATTGAACATCTTCTCTTAGGTACTGTACTATAGTTCTTAAATCACATATTGGTCATGATTTCAAAACACTGATCTGTTCTCTGATCTTGATGATTTATTTTTGTGGTTGTAGTTGACAGAGGACAGTGATTGATGATTCTTTGACAGCTAGTTCCAAAATCGTTTCAAAATCATCACATGCACAGACAAAGGCAAAGACACCACCAGAGACCTATGTATCACAATTAGGTTTATTATGTTTAGAAACTTTAAGACAATTTTTTTGTTTATTTTCATGTGTAAGACTATTTTGTTGGTAATTAAAATAATTTCTATTTTCATTATAGATTTTTATTTTCGATTTAGAGTTTATTTTATTTATAAAAATATACTGTATTTATAAAAAATAACGTATTTATAAAAAAAATACGGATTTATAAATGAACACTTTGTGTTTTCTTTTATTACGTGCACTTGACTTTGTTTTCTCATGTTAATAATTATATGTTATCTCTTGGCAAAAATATATTAAACACAAAAACACATACTTAAAACATTTTAATTGGAAAAAATTGAATTAATTATTTTAAGGCATGTACTTTAGGTTTCAAGTTAAATGATTTTTAAGATTTTTAAGATTTTTTAAATGATTTTCGAATTTTGGAAAAAAAAAGTTATAAAAAAATGAAATATAAACAAATATAACCAAATATCTCAAAAAAACATAAATATTTAATTATAATATTAATAATTATATAAATAATAACAAAATTATAATTTCAAAGCGTTTAGGGTATAGGGTTTAGGGTTTAGGGTATAAGGTTTAGGGTATGAAATGTATGGTTTAGGTTTTTGGATTATATTTGTTTGAAATAGTAATAATATTTAATTATAACAAATAATAACATAAATAAAATTCATTTTTAAAAATAGTTTAGGGTTTAGGGTTTAGGATTTAGGGTTTAGGGTTTAGTTTTAGGGTTTTAAATAGTAGCTAATATTAATGATATAAAGTATACTATTATAACATAAATGAATTCTTTCATTTTATTAATTATAACATCATTAATGTGTTTCAACAATATGATTTACACAATAAGAAGATTAGTGTACATGTATTCTAAGGCAATCATATGTGTTACCTTCAAATTTCTAAAAACGTTGCAAAATATATTTTTTTTAATTGTGAAAAAATTATATAATCATGTAAATAACTCATAAACATATTAATTCTTCAATATATAATTTTTAAAAAATTATATAAATAGTTAAAACACATTTTTATGTCTATAAACAAAATTAGCCAATCATCATGTTTCACTCAGATTGCTGATGTGGCGAGATCTCAGCCATTCATCGGATCTAATACATGATCAATTTACCTAAACCAATCAATAAGTAATACTCGGATACATGACGTGGCGAAATCTCATCCTTTCATAAGGCTTTGGCGGCTGTTGTTTAATGAAATCTCATCCGTTCATCGCCCAACAAAGGCTTTGGCGTCTGCTCTCTTCATCCTTTCATCTTTTCATCGCCTCGACTGAGAACAAAATTCAGAACAAAATTAATTCAGATTAGGTCTTCTCTTGGCTGATCTCAGGAAAAAATTAATTCAGATTAGGTCATCACCTTTCAGCACATACTTCTTCTCTTCTTCTTGTTTTCATCACATATTCTCAATTCTCAATTCTTTTTTCCTCTCCTCCATTACGATTTACGAGAATCTCTCTGCTTTAGCTTCTCACTCCACTGTAAGTTTCGTTTCTTCTGAGTTTAACATTAGTCTCTCAATTTGTCAACGCAATGGTTTTCTCTCATTACCTAGTCGACTTCTTCTTCTCCACCAGCGATACATCGAAGACGTTTCACCACCACCTTGGCGAGCCTCTTTTGATGTTGGTTCTCAGGTGAGTTAATTCTGGATTTTTAGGGTTTACATTGAAATTTGAATCACAAGTTTTAGCTTCTAAGAGCATGAAACGGATCTGCTTGTGTTAAGAGTTAAATTTTGTGAGTAAACTTTATTCTGGTAATGTTTTGCTTCTTCGAGTATTTTTTATTTGTTTTGTGTTTGCTATTCCTCTAGTAATTATGTCACTAATTGAGTTTCATGTTATAGTCAATCGCCCACCACCTGTTCGATTAAATGCCTCAATGGGTTTATTGTCTTGAAGCTGTTTTAAAACAGAGCATATGGAAGATATTTTAGGATTGTTGTTCAGATATATTAAGCATTTACATCAATCTGGTTTTTTGTCTATGATTCAATGAGAATTTAAACTCATTTTGATCCTTGACAAACTTCAGAACTACATAACTAGTAATCCTTTTCTGTTGTTTTCTATTGTATGATTTGATTGCGTGACCACATTGCTTAGCTTATCTTATTTGAAAATTTTCAAACAGGAAAGACATCTATGATGTGTGTGTTGAACTTGTTGATTATGAAGAGGTAATGGTTGATTCCCTACAGTGATAGCTCTGAGTGGGTATTGGAGTTTAAAGTTGTCTTATTTGATATCTCTTAGGTTTGTATATTTTGCAGCTTCCTTATTCTCAGGTTATTATAGTGCATCCCATGTATTTTATCACAGTGAGAAAAAAGCTTGTTAATGGATCATATCATACATTGCACGGTGTTCAAGGGCCTTACTGCACCTGTAAAAGAAAGTGAAGAAAGAAATCAAAGAGCTCGCCAAGAAGATCAACGATCTTTGTGGTATGTGCACACTCTATATTTTAATCTGCAAGTTATGCACTTAGTCTAGAATGATCGCACTGTTTAATCTGCAAGTTATGCACTCAACTTTTTAAGTTGACTAATTATAGCTTGAAGCAACTGTAAAAGAAGACAAGGAATGGCGTTGGCTGTTAAATGGTATGAGTTGGAGATCTACTAGAGCTGCCTCGGTTTCTTTATGACTTGGTTTGGTGAAGAAATGTACTTGTGTTTTTTTCTTTATGACTTGGTTGGTGATTCAAGCCTTCTTTGTATCTTTTGGGTATTTGATAGAATGATTCTTTGTAAAATGTATGTTTTATATAATATTAATTTTATTTATGAATCAATTTGCAATCTATGTTTTGTGCAATATAGGTTTCAAATAATTGAAATATAGCACATAATAATATACATTACAGCAGCATTAACAAGCATTAACAAAATGTCACGAAACAATATCCACCGGCACATATAATGTGTTATCATTACAAGTTAGACATCACAAAATGTTTGCTATAAAAACAAACATAATAGCACGAGTGAAGCGCTAGTTAATAATATCCACCAGCACATATAGTGTGTTATCATTACAAGTTACACAGCACGAAATATTTGTTATTAAAAATAACATAATAGCAAAAATAAAGCGCTAGTTAAGAATATTAAATAGCTGAGTAATAGCGCTATAATAGGTCAATTTACAATAGCGCGTAAAAACTGCTACGGTAGGGGGGGTCTACCGTAGCTCCTCATTATACAGCGTTTGTAGTTTCGCTACGAAATCCTTTTAGTAGCAGTTTTCGTGTGTTACCGATGCTCATTTTTCTTGTAGTGTACCTAAGATCAATTGCAAGTTAGCTATTCAAGCAATATGCATTAAGAACAAACCTAGAACGAAGAACAAAGATGACCTAAATATATATCTAAGAAACCCTAGAAAACAGATCCATGAATCCCCTTTGAAACCCTTATACCCAACAAGTAAACTACTCACACATACTCAAAGAACACAACATCATATGAATAAGAAATTGTATAAAAGAGTATGAGTATAGAAAAAGGGTTTAGAAAGCTTCTCTGGAAATCCAGTTTAGGATTCTTCTTCCTTGAACAAGTAGAGAACAGAGAAAAGAGATGAAGAGAAAGGTTGGTGATGATCGGCGGCATCAACGGCGGCAATGGAGGCAAATGGTGGTGAGGGAGCTTCGACGGCTTCTCTGGTCGTTTCTCTAGGAGGCTTCTGGTGATAGGGTCGAAGACACACCCTAATTAGGGTTAATAACTTGTATTTATAGGCCTCGGGAAGTAACAAGTCGGTTTAGTGTTTTATCGGCAAAACTACCTAGTTTCGATAAGTGCAGGGACGAGGAGGCTTAGCCCGATCACGAGGATCCATAACCGTGCTCCACAAGAGGCCTCAGCCCGGTCACGTGGTATTGTGACCGGTGGCAACAAGGGTTCCACCACCGATCGCACGCTTTGCGACTGGTCTCTAACAGGCTGACTTCAATCGGTTGTACCTTCTGTTTTGCAGCTGGGATTGAGTTGATTCTTCCTCCATTGTAATCTTGACTCTTCCAGCTTTCCATAGAGTCTAAGATCTCCAATTTTTTTTCATGGGAAGGTCTCCAACGGACGCCTAACTTCTGGATCTTCGAACCTGTCCTGAAACGGGTTTTGCTTGTCTTTTGGTCCGTTTTGCTTGTAAACTCCTAAAACCTTCTTGACTTCATAAACACTTGATCTCCTATTTAGCCTTGAAATCACACCAAACACTTCCTAAAACATAAGAAAACAAAACAAATAAACAATAACAAATATGGGCGAAAATCCCATGTTATCACGGGTCATAAACTTTAAACCCCAAAAATTCAAACTCAACATGACCCGAAGCTAAATCCGAACAAGTACTTGAATATACCCGAAATATAAGTACAGTCACATATACATGTTGAAACTATCCCGCCAATTTTTTAACACACGCTCACGTGTAATCTCAAAGTCCTAATCCATAAGTACCGAAATTGATAAGCCATAATTCGCTAGTAGACTTTTTGAAAATGAGAAACAAACTCTCAAAATTATCATGATTTTACAGAAAAAAAAAACATGACAAACTTTATGGCTTTTATAACTTTCACAAAAACACCGAAGACACTTCCAGCTAATTGAATGCTTTTACAACATATGTTAATGTTAACAACCAAAAATGTCTGTGTTAAGGCCATTTACACTGAAAACTCTATTCCATCAAGCAACAAGTATCCCAATAATGAGATCTGAACATCACTCTCTCAATATTGAATCATAATCAATATTTTCCAATTGAAGCCCAATTAAGAGTTTACATGTTTTCCTTTGACATAATTTATAACTTGCCTGTATAAGAAAAAACAAGCACTCAAATGAATCCTATACTATTATTTGGGGAGTACACTTTATAAGATACCCTTAACTAACCTTCTCTTTTGTAAAAAATTACTTAAGAATGCCATTAGTAATAAAATTTTATAGAGTAAATTAATTCAACTCATTAAGGATAAAAAAGTCAAATACTATTTTATACAATTTAATTAATTTAATTTAATTATAAAAACGAAAATCTATTATTAATTTCTTTTAAAAAATGACCAATCGAAATGAACATATAAGATTTGATATCTAACTTACCATATTAATTTGTTATTAATCATTATACTCCACATCTCATCTTTAAATGATTTTATTTCTATAAATAAATAAATCAGTATATCATCTATATAATAAACAAAAAGTAAATTTTTTTCCGCATATACCAAGATTTGAATTTTTAAAAACGAATATAAATTATTCAATGTATGAAAGAACAAAATTTAACGGGTCAAAAATTCATATTTGAGTAATATATTCTTTTTTTTTTAATATCATCAAACTTAATAGATCAAAAATTTATGAAGTATAAATACTCTAATTTGATTTTTTGAAACAAATATTTATAATAGGCGGCGGGTTGAATATAATATATTATATGCTGAAATGAGTTATGATCCTTATAACTATTTGAATATTTATATTTAATTTCATATCATTTTTTTTAAAATTCATAATTTTACATACTACGATAAAATGGTTTTAAAGATTTTAATTTGGAATATTTTAAAAAAGTTTAATTTAATATATTAAGGAATATCATAAATATTTAATAGATTAAAAAGATAAAAAAAAATTATAAATACAATAATTTGATTTTCTAAAAAGATATGTTTAAAATATTTATAGTAGGCGGCGGGTTAAATGTAATGTATTATATGGTAGAAAGTTATGATCCTTATAACAGACAGCATTTTAAGATTTATGATGAGATGAGTTAAATAAGGTTTGACACTTCTAAATATTTAAAAATTTGATTCTGCAAGCATTTTGAAAATAATAAATAATAGATTGTGCCGCAATATTTTCATAGAGATTGTAAAATGAAAATATAGACTCCACACACAGATTGAATTTGGTATTATTATATACCAAATATATGTTCATAACATATTTGATTATGTGAATAATTGGTAAATTCCGTAATTAGCTCAAACAAATCTCTAATTGAATTTGGTATTACAGTACGGATTGAATTTCATTTATTACAAAATCTAATTGAATTTGGTACTACAGTACGGATTGAATTTCATTTATTAACATAAAGATAATACTCTAAACTCGACATTTACTATAGTAGGCCAGTACTGGAAAAGAGAAGATTTGATAGCTTTTCATTCAGGTAACTTTCACCACTAATTATAACTTCTTTTTGTATTTTAGATATTCTAATGATTTTGTGCAGTTCAAAACTAACTAATTATGCATTTAGGAATTAAATTTTATTATTTCTATCATATGCAGGTTTTGAACATCATAGCAGTGCTTAAACGATAACACAGAAGAAAAGTCATTAATAGTTTCATGAATAAGAGTTGGAAACAAACTCATTGCAAATTTGTTTAATTCTTTAGAGTTCGATAGAAACTTTTATATTATATAAACTTTTCTATAAATCTGCTTAATTTTTAAATTCATTGAACATTTATTTTATTATTAATCAAATGCATCAAATCAACATGTTTTGAAAAGCTTAATGAGTTATGTTTTGAAAAGCTTAATGAGTTATGTATCGGGTACTAACCTTTATAGTCATGTTTCAACAGAGGTAATTGCATGCCGTCTGATAATTCTTGGTTAGATTGTCTTCATTAGATTGATTTACTCTTACTCCATATACATGTCTGTACCAAAAACCTGCAGATCATTTTATATTCAGATTATAGATGTACTTTATAAAGCTTGATCCTAATTTGATATCAGTTTCGGAATCTGATAAAAGTTTAAGATTGCAAATCATATAGTTTATAATCTATATCTAAAACAATGCAAATATACAGTCATAAGATTAGATCAAACAAAGATTTGGCAGAGCCATTCATTATTTCATTGGACGATTTCAAAATTGTCTGTATAATTTGTTGAATTTCTTACAACATAACGATTCAATCACTAATCAATTGAAGAACTAAATTCATCGATTTGTATAAGATATCCGATTAAATTTGAGAATTTGGTGTACCTTTAAGTCGAATTTCCAATTCCACTGCTCCGGAACACAATCGATGAACTAATTGAATTCCTTCTTCAATTCCGAAATTGTTTGAGACTAATGAAATTGCATGATTTATCATTCTTTCATCTGAAGTAAGAAGAATTGACAGAGAAATCGTCGGGTGATGTTTATTATAATAATTCCGATTTCTCCTCCATTGTCAGCAATCGAAATCGAAGCAGAAGCATATTCTTGATTATGGTTTTTTTTAAGACATCGTCGACAGATTGTTTTTTTTAGACATTATTTTCTGTTTCCTTTAAATTATTTATGCTATTATTAAAAATCAAACCAAAGCAACTTAATTAAAGATTGGGCCTATTGTTAAAATTCAACCCAAATTGGCCCAAAAAATAAACTCTCACAAACTAATAATACAATAAAAATAAATAAATGTTGCATAAGTTAATTATTAAATTTTCTAAGTAAATTATTTAAACATACAAACAAACCATACAATTTTATTTAGACTCTCAACATTTCTATATACACTAAAATATTATCTCCTCTTATATTATGAAAACATTTTTCCCAACTAAGTAATATAATACAACATTTAATACTATTTAGAAATAAAATTAATCATGCTATGAAATAAATTTTATAAATTTGACTTTATTCTGTTATTTGCTTTTTAATACAAAATTTATATTTTAATTTTATAAAAAAAATTTCACATCCGTACTATAGCACGGGTTATGATCTAGTACATTTTAAAATGCAACGAATTCC